GCTCCCCTTCCCCGACTCGGCCCGCGGGATCCCCTGGTACTCGCCCTCGTAGATCTCGTCGTCCTCGTCGTGGCCCTCCGTTGAGTCGCTGTGGCCCCCCTCGTCGTCGGCGGCGGCCTGGCTGTCGCCGCGGTAATAGCCCCCCCCCTGACCCCCGCCCTGGCCCCCCCGGGCGGGGTAGTCGTCGTCGTCGTCCTCTTCGAAGCGGCTGTAGGAGCGCTTGCTGTACTCGTCGGCCACCCGGTCCACCGAGCGGCCGGCCTTCTTGGACGCCTGCCGCTTGACCTCTTTGGCAATGTCTTTGGCGCCTTTGATGAAGGCAGTCCGGTTTTGATAGCCGTCCTCCATTTTTTGGGAGTGGATTCAGAGGAAGCAAATGAGGTCAAATAAGGTGGATTTTTGGAGTAGGAGGGCACCCTTTACGGTGAGTTTGGGTAGGATGCGACTCAAAGGTCCGGTGAGTGTGGCTGACCACAAGCTCTTCTTTTGTCTGGGGAATAAAAATTGACATTTAACATGGTTAAACATCACAGTTGTAGAATTCCAGATATGATATATATATATAACTGAATGAAGTAAACACTTTTCTTTCCATATGGATCGTTAAACAACCGGGACCAGAACTTTCAGAGGCAAGGAAACTTGAACGTGAGGGTTTTTTAACTGTAAAATGATGTAAAAATAATGGGAAGTTGGTTCGTGTTTAATTTGTGAAAAAGCTATTTAGATCCTGGAATGAAAATTTGGGCCAGTAGCGAAAAAACAGTTTCTGGGTTTTCCGTTTAACTTAATGAAACAAACTGCGCTTCATTAGCTTTACGTTTGTTTAACTGTAAAATTCAAACCATTTCTTTTATCAGTGGCTGCTTCAAGCAAATGTTAAGATTTAAAGTGGACCAAACGTTACATTAAAATGTTTCTTCCCAAAAGGATGGAATGAAAAGATTCTAAACCATCCAGTCATTTTGGACATATTTTTCTGTCTTTGAACCATTTTATTGCCATTCAGAGAAAAAACACCTTTAACAGGTTTTTAACGGCCTCTATCCAAATTACACCTGTTTTTCCCACATATCCACCCGGCATGTGTTCTGTGCTGAGTCACGGACGGGTTTTAGCAGTGCTCACAGGGCCAGACATCCAGCTTTGGACGGGGAGTGCTTTTCTAATGGACGTTTCCTGGTGCAGAAATGCTTTGAGTGCTTCACTTCATCAGGCAGAGCTGAACGTGGCCTCAATTGATTAGACATTAGTGAACTTTTTTTTATTTATATATCAACATGACACTGTCTGTTAATGTTCCCATCCGATAATCTTATAGGAACATAATAGTTCAGATAGGAATCTGAGGCTTTCAAAAGAACATTTTTTACTCCTCCTAATGGATATAAGAGTCAGTTTAAGAGAGGAAATGTTACATTATTCATTCATTTGGCATCAAGCTGAATTAAAGACATACATGTACGGTTAACTGGGGATTCTATGTTGCTCCCTTTGGATTGAGAGAGTTTAAGATTGAATGGTTGGTCATCATTTCCTCCTGTGTGGCTCGGTGATGGATTTAGGACCCATCCAGGGAACGCGGACTCCAGCTCTCATTTTGATGAAGCGGGTGTAAAAACCGGATCGATGAATGATCACACTTGTAGGCAATTATTTAGCCCGAACAAGTTAATGGAGAGAGCGACGAGGCTTTTTCTTCCAGGACTTTGAGGAAAATCTCTGTCTCACTCAGTTAAATGTCAGGATTGACAACAATCAATTAGCAGTACAGAAGACAAATAATGAATCACACAAGATCATGTGTATAACGGCTAATGATCCTTGAAATGGAGAAAAAGGAGCTGTAATACTGATGAGTGTTTCCCCTTCCCCTGCTGGAAAACCTGCCGCTCACAGTGCATTTTTAAGCCACCGCCTTGAACCTGCAGTGTTGGAGATTCATATCTATATGCTTCTGCTTAGGGAGCCGCGCTTTGGGCTTCGTGCGTAATGAGGCAGGGTGTCGCTTTGTGTTTGGGATGCTGTGAAAAAAAACAGACAGACAATGATGACGCGCCTCCGTGCTCTCACCCGGGTTTTGAAAACTAACCCTGACAGGTAATGACAGGCCTGACAGAGCTCCTCTATGGTGGCATAAACACACAGAGCCAGAAAATGCACCTCACAAAACACTGAAGAGTGGTGGGTTAGTTTTTCTGATTTTCCATCTAAAGACACTGATTCGATTGAAATTCTTCCTCTTTTTACACAAAAACTGTCAAATATCTATATTGTTTCCATTACGGATGACAGATTTAAATACATGTATGTATTTAAAAGGTATGTTAAAAAAAACATCATTGCAAAGAAAACACAGCTTCTGTTCATTTTCACTCAAAACCACATAAACAGAAATCTCTTTTTTTAGATATGCATATTTCTTTACAAAAAATACACATATTCGTGCTTTAGATTTAGGATTTTTGCTATCGGATGACAGTCTTATATAGCAAGTAAGGTTCTGTTTGGTAGAAACTGTGTTTAAGGTCTTTGTGTGTGTTGTGTTTTAATTGAAGGAACCGTTTTCCAGACATGAGCCAGCAGATCCCTCACTGTCAGCGTGATGAGGGCAGATCAAAGGAACCCCACCAGGCCCGGTCAGCCGGGCTAAACTGTGGCTCAAGCCTAATAATAACCCGTCTGCGTCAGCCTGCCCCGCCAGCCTTTATTCTAACGTTTCTGCACGATGCTGACACAGGTGACGGCCGCTAGCTATTTAACCCGCGTCTGCTTCTCCTCGTGGGACAGCGTGGCCGTAGTTTTGACCGGTCACCTCTTCCTCACGCCACCGATAACAACGCTGCCTCTGTTCCTACGTGAAATGTTTTTTTAGATAACAAGTCAGAATGACAGAGGACCCCTTATACCAGTACAACCAGACCTTTACATTCTGCTGAAATATTATGAATGTTGAAAATAGCCGGACTCCATGGTTTGACAGAAATGGACATAGATGAGGACATTACCCAGACTCGTTTTCAGCCCCTGTAGCTCGAGAGAACCGAGATGCAGAATGAGGAGATGGCAATTGTTCCACGAGGGCAGGAAGCCTTTTCTCCAAACAGAAAAGTGAGAGCTAGAGTTTTCCCGACCTGGCTTTCGAGCAACAGGTAAACCTGAACCTCTCCTCAAGTGATCGGAAAGAAACTAAAGAGCGAAAAATCTCTGAGGCCTCTTCTCTCACTTTGTCTCTGCTGTCAAGTTGACGGCCTCTCTGCGGTTTGTTCAGGCCGCAACACACACACACACACAAATACAAACACACACAACAAGCAGCGGGAGGGAAGAGGAAGGCATGGTGGATGAGGAGGGTGGATTTCATTTCTCCTCATTCTACCCCCCAACACACTTTGACATTTATTTTCTTATGTTTTAAAAAAAAAAAGACTGTAGCTTTAACTGTTTCTTTACCAAACCAAACAGCACAGACAGGCCTCCCGACACAGGCCTACCGAAAGCATCCCTGACAGCCATGTCATGAGAAATAACGCGGGCACTTCACGTCCAGGCGTAATTTAAAGGCATCCCCAGTATTTTCCCAGCACTTCTCGCTCGAATAGGCCTGATCACAACAGGGTTCTGAGACCTGTAGGGTGCTGCTTTGGCTCCTGGTAGACAACATTTCGCAAGCAGCCGGCTGATGGAGGAGAGCAACAGTGTTGAATCCCAGAATCCCAGGGAAAAGATGCTAATTTAAGCCTTCTGCGCGCTCGTAATTGGCTTCGTTGGTTTTAAAGAAATAACGGCCTAGTCGCCAACAGAGCAATTTACACCGCCAACCAAACGGCTGGATCAAAAACGTCAATCTTTATCCCTATCATCCCGACATATGCGCGGATTCTTAGAAATTACACTCACCCGCCGTTTGTCACGACTCGGATTAGATGATAAGGCCCGAGTCTCTATTCACAAAATCGATCTTAAATCTCCGTGTGTGGCAACCGTGGGGTGAACACGCCCATCGTGTCTTTCTTATGATGTCTCGCATGCAGGGAAATTACGGGAAGCGTCCAATAAAGCCGCCGATAGCTCCTCATCCACCCCCCCCCCCCACGTTCACCCACCTTAAATCCAGAGCGCGTTCCCTTTTTTCCTCTCCTCCTGGAGTCGGTGAGGATGAGGATGGGGATGGGGATGAGGATGCGTAAGACGCTGTTGCTGCGAGCCGAGTGACGACGCCGTGCCGTCGGATGGAGAGAAGCCCACGGTGTCCACTCACACTCAAGTGATGCGCGAGGGGTCCCCTCCCCCACGCGAGTACAGCATCACGAGCGCACGAGCGCGTTTAAACGCCTCCGGAACACAGAGGGGCTTTGGCGCAGACCCGTGCGCACAGCCTGCGCAAATTTCCATAGGCTTTTACACCTTTTTTATTTATTTTTTTGTCTGCTGCTATTTGCACATTGTTTCAGATCAGAGGGCGCGAGGCCGTGCGCGTTGGGATCTCCTATGAGACCCCCTGCGTGCACGCGCAGTTCATTATGGCACATCTGCTTTGTCACAGAAATGTATGAATCGTCTTTTACGCGTAAACGTCAAGCCGCGTGCGCGGGGAACACGCACGCGCAAGCACACCTGACTCCTGTTGCCATGTCAACCGTTTGGATGTGCCTGTGACTGCACCGAGAGTTGCCAGAAGAAACGTGATGTCACTTTTGTCACATACGACGGGAGGGTTGGGAAGTGAGATGTTGTTGAGTGGTATTTTTAAAAAGCCACGGCTCCAAGGAACAGAGTGAGAAATGGCTGTTCCAATCTGGGGAAAAAAGGGAGAGATGACATAAAAACGGCACAATTGTCTTAATCAAACTTCCATGTGTTTTGATAAGTGGTGTTTTGTATCAAGATGTTTTGTATAAGAAAAAAAAGATTAAGATGTCATGTGGAGAGAACAACATAATGAATGGGGAAAGCTTGCATCACACAGATTCCAGTCATGAGTCATTGATAAATCCTGCTATCTTTATCATCTACAACATAAAGAATGTGCATAATTTTCTCTCCATATCCTGTATGTTAAAATATAAGGAAACCGTTTAAATCTGACATTGTTACATGACATTTTTAAAGAAAAAAATTTAAGTACCGTGGTTTTCATACAGTGAAATACAAAAGCACGCAATATTTAGAGCTGTTAATCTTCACAAATGTTTCCTGGACTCTTCTAAGACCTTTAACGTTTTTGAAGTTTTTGGCTGAAGAATATCTGCATTTTAAATCTACTTTTTAACATGAACTCAGTGCAAAACACCAAGACCATTAATAACGAGAAGATAAAACAAAAAAAAGTTCTACTAAAAATTTTATTTGTCAAATGTTGCTCATCTGTACAAAGGGCACAACACAAATTATTTTGACCACAACAAACTCCAGATATCTAAGGATGAGATAAAAAAAAAAGCAGAAAGTTTCTGCTGGCTGAGGTGGATTATGATGGCATTGGTGGTCTCAGGGGGACACGAGGAGGGGCCCCCGGGGGCCTCGGTGGCAACGGAGGTCCTCTTTGAAGAGGAAAGGGAGGTGGACGGGGATGGCCGGGGTGGCCGGCGCCATAGCCAGGAGGGGGCATGGGAGGAGGAGGCCCTCTCATACCTGGAGGCACTGGGTGACCTGAAGCATAGGGAGGAGGGGGGGGGTATCATGGTCATTGGGTGAACAAAAAATAAACAGAGTGATAGTGTTTCAGCATTCAACATGGATCTGTGGTCTGAAGTCATTATTAAGAACAAAATGATCCACAGATGTCGCCTAAACTGTTAATCCACCAGTTTCTAGAGGGCGGGTCATTCTGGGGGGGTTTCTTCTGCCTTCTGGGACTCTGGTGTTCCTCACTGTTATTCATGAAATCACGTCTGATTGAGATTTTCTTTGTCAAACTACCACAAACGCAACACAGCCCTAAAAACCCAGAGGAGGAGCAGGCACTGAATGACTTCAATGGCAACGTGATGAAAGCTTTCTTGGGAAAACTTTCAAAATCCTGCTATGAAATGACAGCGTTGTCTAGCTTTAAGGACTCTGTAAGATCCAGTGTGAGAAACTGTGAATCAGTTGGTCCCGCCGCAGTGTTAAATACAGATGTTAATGCACTGGAGATTAATTTAGAGCCGATTGCTCCGAGGTGGTTTGGGTCCACGCTTTTAAAAACAAAAGCAAATGTATCCTGAGCCATATTTAAAGACCTCTGACGTGACTCCAGGAAGCAGAGGAGCTTCCTCTGGGTTATCGGTTCAATTTTCCGTTCACAGAGAAAACACATCCTGTATATTCAAAAAAAGAAAAAAAAAAGCTTCCTAGTTAACAGGAATCAGCTTTTTTCGTTCAGGTTCCTGGCGATTCCTTTACGTTTATCTTTACGATGATACCAAAAACTCCAGATGGGAGAACATAATACACTCTGCCCATCCTGGGAAAAAACAGACCTCTTGAGCCACTTTGATTTCTGAAAGGAAGCATTCTGTGACAGGCTTTGCTGGAGAAAAAAAATTCTAATGATTTGATGTACTTTTCCCATTTGTGAGATAAAGAAACTTTTGTTTTTGGACAACAAACGCTTGACCGGTGGCCACAGTATTTACCCATGGGAGGTCCATACGGTGCTCTGGGAGGCATGCCCATTGGTGGGGGTGGGGGCATGTTGGGGGGAAGGGGAGCCCGTTGAGTTGATCCTGGTGGTGCAGGAAGCGGAGGCACCATCCCAGGAGGAGCAGGGGGGGGCATGGGCATCTGAGGCATACCTGTGCCAGGGAACACAAACACTCTTTTGTTATTTTTAAGTTGGACCAAAAGTTCAAATGAGAAATAATGTCCGTTTTGTACATAAACTATGTGGAAAAAAAAAACACAGATGCGGATTCAAATGCACAGAAAGTCTCACCTGGATGCATGTTGGCATGTTGGGCGAAAGGTGGCGGTACGGGTGGATGACCGCCCCCTCCCTGGTTCTGGACCCCTTGACCCATGGACATAGAAGGAGACATGGCAGGAGGCATTGATCCATGGGGGGGAACGGGAGGGAATGCTACTGGAGGTGGCAGGCCTGCACAAAACAAAAGGGGTTGTTGGTCATTAATGTGGGATTATTTTCTATTCTACGCACACAAAACTGTCAAAAGATTAGTTAAATATTCAGAGGTTTTCAGTGATACTTTCATCCAACTCTCAGATGCAGCAATGGTTAAAAGCAGCAGAAAGAGAGTGAATTCCAGTCAGGTACATCCAAATCCATACTTTGTATTTTCCCCGTGGAGGGTCTGCTACATTTTCAATAGATCTAAATCAAGTATCCCCAAGAGAAAATGTGTTCTTCATCAGTCAGTGTGAATCCCTGTAGTTTCAACCAACCAGAATTCTTTCTCCAGTTTTCATTTTGTACTCAAGACAAGCAAAGCCTTCACACCTACTTATATATGTGTTACACGCTGGTTTAAAGAGAGTTGGCCCCAGGAATAAAACAACAAGACACAGTTTTAATCAAAGTGAATAAAATATATCGGGCTCTGAGTCATACTTCAAAGCACACTTTTTAAAGAGTGTGTAAAATATTTACTTTCAAATTAAATAAAACGAACCAAATTCATAAGCCTGTAAGAGGCAGATTAACATAAAGCAAGCTGAAAGCATAATTTCTATTATAAGTGTATTTACTATTCCTTATGGAGTTGGTAAGAAAAAGGGACATAGAAGTAATTAAGAATTAAGATACACTGGAATATTTAAGAAAAAGCCTAGCAAATATTTTTGCTTCTGAAGAGCATATAACTGCATATTATACTTTATTGTTCTACTTTTTGCACGTAGGGTCTCTGTATACTGGGTTCTGTCACCGATGTGTTTGTCTTTGTGTATTATTTTGTATTGTTCGATAGTTTGATTTGTTTTTATTCTGTAAAGCACTTTGATCAGCTCCAGTTGTTGTAAAGTGCTATATAAATAAACATTGATTGATTGATTGATTGATTGATTGATTGATACTATCAATGTAACATTAAACATTATCTATGACCGTTAGCAATCCAGGTTGGCTGAAATGGTACAACAACGCAAAAATAGGTCATAGCCACAGTAAAAGATGGTAATCAAGCAACACGACATGCCTCTCACAATGAATCAACAAGACAGTTGCCTACCAGTCAGACCGGGAATGCCCATAGTAGCTCCCAGCGTGGTCAGGACCGGGGTCGGAGCGCTGGGCGGCGGTGGGGCATCCGCAAACAGCTGATGGGGCCTGTCTGCCTGGGAGAGCGGGTTCTGAGCAGCCAGGAGCCGTTCTGCGGCCGAGCCGTGGCGCTCCCCTTTGGAATCCTTCTTGAAGGCGTAGGACACCGTGATGGGTCTGTTGCAGAGGTACTGGCCATTCATGGCCTCGATGGCAGCGTCCGATGCGTCAAAGCTGGCAAAATTGATGAAGGCGTAACCCTTGGAGTTGCCGGTGTCGGGATCTCGCATGATCTTCGGGGTTTGGAGAATAACACCGAACGCACTAAAGGTATCGTAGAGGAGTTTTTCGTCAATCTCTGGGTCCAAGTTGCCGATGAATATGTTGGCGCCAACATCCAGGTTTTTATTGTGAGCTGAGGCCTTATTGACTCTGATTGGCTTGCCATATAGCTTTATCATATTCATGATTTTGATGGCATAGTCGGCATCCTCTTCACTGAGGAACTCCACAAAGCCATAACCTGGAATTAGTAAAAAGGCATGTTTATTACTTGATAAACTACTACAATTCTATGAGAGATACACTTTTTTAATTAGAAAAAAGTGGCGTAATGCTCACCTTGATGTTGTCCTGTGACCCGGTCTTTGGGCATGTGTGTGTTTACCACAGGGCCGGCCTGCAGAAAAAGCTCCCATAGCAACGGCTCTGAGACCTTCTCATCCAAGCCACCAACATACACAGTGGCATCTGAAAACAGAATGGGGGAAGAAAAGGAGAAAAACTGTCTTTAAAAAGCTGTGCAATGGAGATGCTAATGTATGGACTGCCAATTATTCACCTTTTAAACTCCTTAAAACATGTTCAGGAACACTTTCAATGTGCTTAAATAACCTGTAAGACTCACAATTCTGTTTAAAATGAGGTATTTATAATTAAAATGGAAATGTGATTGGCAAGAATCTAAACTATGTCTCCACATAAGAAACTCTGCAGTATGACTGCTACAATGTAAGGTTAGTATTTGTTTAGGAAGTGTGTACATAAGTAGCCCCAAAACCTTAAACAGCTTTTATCTCTTCTTTATTTTAAAGAATGAGTCGTCTTTACCAAAACGTCGTCTTTATCAACTAAGGAGCTTAATAAAACCTTCCTCAGTTAAACTGAAAAGGCTCTCTGACCCACTTTGTTAGTTTTTGTTGAGCTCTGCAACATGCTAGGTGCCTAGCTAGCAAAGCTAACTATAGCCTTTCATACTGCACACAGCCCGGATTTAAGCTTATACAAATCCACAAATATACTACAAAATACAAAGATTCCTGTTCTTAAATCAATTGCAACATAACTTGATAGAGTATTTTGTTTTAAATTAAATGAATTAATAAATTAGCGATAAGCTAAGCTAACGATACCGGAGGACCTCCATGTGTTCCACTGGTTGTTTACGATAAATTATCGGCTAAATACGCGGTAAACTTAGCTCGGAAAGGGACAGACAGACAGTTCAAAGTATTGTCTGTACGCACAGTTTTCAAGATATAAGATATGAAAATGAAAAAGTCCCGTAAATGACAGTTATACCTTGGTTTCTTTCTGAAATTGGTCCCGCTGCCATGTTGAATGACCAACGCAGGGGGAGCGTCGGCAGAACAAGTCCCGCCCCTTCCGGTTCCACATCAGCTCATTTTTTAATGAAGAAGTAAAACAGTGGTGTCTTGTAACAGGTTTTGGAATTAACTTTTTCTGTTTTTACCTTAATAAGTTTGATTAAGAGTGTTATCACCAACATTCACCGGACATGTGGAAGCTGAATGTGAGTTATCTACCTGGTTTAGTATATTTCTGTCATGTTTGTTTTTCTTTTACTTCTTTATTTTACTTTTACTATAATTAAGTTATAGAAAGTAAGATTTAAACAGCTTGTATCCTTGGAGACACCAGCTAAATACTCCTCCAGTCTTCTTGAATTCAGCAAATGTCTGTTATTTTGATATTGAATATCCATATTAAAACACTCACACAAATCCTCCTGTTTGCACAATTAAGTGACCTTAAGTTATGCTAATGGGCAGACAATAATGGATTGTATCTTTCCAGAGGTAAAGTACTCTGACACAAAAATGTGCAAAAACTATATTTTACGCCGACAACATTCCTTGATTTATTCATTGACCATCCATCCATACTGCTGCATCCCATGGCCGGAGCCTATCCCAACCATCCCTGGACAAGAGGTAGGATACACCCTGGAAAGGTCCCCAATCCATCATGGGGCCAAACAGAGACAAAAAAAACACGCACACTCACATTCTCTTCAAGGGGCAATTTAGAATCCTCACAAAGACATACAAAATGTAAAAATTTTAAGAATACAAAGTTGAACAAACTCAGCTTTTATTTTAATTTCTCAGTATGGGAATCTTATGAACAACATATGGCTAGCAAGAAATAAAGATGAATTGTTTACACAAAATAGAGCTGGTGGAGATATGTTCTACAAAGCTTAAAATAAAAGCAAATACAACTACACTTTAGTCGTATTAGTGGAAACTTTAAAAAACAAACCAGCCTATCAATTAGATTTGTTGAGTTTGATGAGTATGATTCAGAAGGGTCGACATTAATGGAACAGCAAAGTAATTAATGAAGATTAAAAGAAAAAATATATTGTAAAAGCCACTGAATTGAAATTTGAATCAAGAAAAATAATTGTCAAAAGTTGATTTGCCTCAGATAAAGAAAACAAGAGACATGACAATGTTGGAAAGATTTGAATCAACCGATTTAATACATTTACATATAAATTTACTAGTATAAACATGGATTACAAAATAAATTCATAGAAAATACATACAATTAGGGCCTCAACAAAGACTTATAAAAACAATACTGTATAGGATATGAAAAGTACAAAAAGAAGACCGAGTACATCATGCAACAAAGTCCCACCCCCCCCAAAAAAAGTGTTTTCTTTCTTTAAAATGGCAATATTAAAAAAGCTTTTATTGATAATGAGCATAAAGAAAACTCCAAAGCATTTGAAGGAAAGAGCTCAAATTGATGGCTTTTAGTAACAAATATAACACTTACTGGGCATTTTCAATACAAGATCAACACAATTCAATATCACAAGCCTCATTCTTATGAAGAGCTCCTTCGAACAACTTGAGTTTGTATTCTTTAATCAACTTCCATTTTTTTCTTAAATGGCTCATGAAAGTACAATCATTGAACGAAAAGCACCCGCCGAGTAGAAGCTGAGAAAACGTGTAATACAGGCTACAAAAGCTATTATAAAGTAACAGAAACCGACGTTGAGAGGGGATTCAAGGTGCAGATTTATGAGGTAAAAGTGTTCAATACATTTAAACTTCTGACTGAAGAGAGCTGCAGAGAGTTCATCGTATTTTTAAAAAAACTAGTTAAAATAGTGGTACGTGTTCAGAACGTCATACCAGAGAGACAACCTTGCAGAACAAATCCTTCCTAATTACACGGTATGCCGTGAATTACAGCAATTACTTGATATATTGATGTGGACGAGAGGAAGAATGCCGCTCTTAAGTTGCTGTTGCTATGCAACCAACGCAGACTTCCTAGGAGTCAACAAAAGTTCATATTAAATCATTCATTTGTATATATTAAACGGTTAGACGATGTTTATCTTGAACTTTAGTGCTACATTTTTGTCAGATTTGGGCAGAGCCTGAATAAACGGATCTTAAGTTCTGTTAAATGCACTAGGGCATTGTCATGAAGCTCGAGTCTGAGTGAAAACACAAGTCATGTGATCCGAAAATATTTCCAGGAAGTATTACAATAGAATACTATGCAAGTATTTTCGTCTTAGAAGATAAAAAGTACTTTCTTTTAAAGACCCCATTCACTTTCGAACTTAGGAGGCCTTTTGGATGAGGTGAAACGTATTCAGGATCCAATAAGAAGTCCAGTTGCCTTTACTCAAGCTCTTAGGAACTCCACAAAATTATTAGATTTTTTTTAAAGGTTTTAACTCTTCGTGTTTACAATTTTACAAAAAGGCACAATATTTCACTGGAGGGAACTTGAAACAAAATGACAGACTGACAACAGTCCAGCACAATCCCTTTTTTGTTGTGTTGTCTTCTTTGTTTTCTTTTAGCCTTCTAAAATTTTGAGTAATGAGTTTCTGCTGTAGATAATTTAACATTCAGCTGCTGGAACGAGCCTCCCCACTGTTTAAGCCTCCAAACTTTTGCCCGCATTTCCCTCAACACAAGAGCCGCTCCTCAATTAAACTCTCGCCTCGCTTACACAGGGTCTTTAAAAGGCTGCTCACCCAAATTATTCATTTCTATAATGCTTAAAAATACATTTTAGGTACACAAAGAAATATAAAACTTTGACCTCTCCACGGTTCTAACAGAAAGAAAGAGTTAGAAGTGCAGATTACATGACATGTTTACCGTCTGTGGATGTTCGAGTGTCCGAGAATTTAAAACTCACAATTCATTAATGTCTATATTTGACCTCCCCTGTGTTCTCATAAGCACCTTTTTGAACTGCTTGCTGAAGCACGTGACGAGCAAAGTGTACACAAGAGCCCTCCCATGGAGTAACAGCGCTGCTTTGTAGGTCCTTAAGTGGATTGCAGATTTAAAAAACATACATTCGGCCACTGTCATGGTCAACGAGCACACAGCTAGATCTAAAAGAGCCAAAAAGCTTTCACAGACAATCAAAAAAGAAGAAGGAAAAAAAAAAAAAAAAAAAGACCAATCTACTGATGTTTCACCATGTCTTCTTTTTTTTTTTGCAAAAACCTGAGCTGCTGACATAGTTTACGAAGTACCCACAAATTATTATTCATGTTCCAAAACTCTGAAAACCCATTCGGGTATTATTTTCCGTCCAATTTGTTTGTGTTTGCGTTGAGACTGGTATGATTACTTTTTCTGTCTTGGTTTGTACTTAGGACTTATTCTCTGTTGCAGTAAGGACGAGGCCTGTTATCAAAATGTTTAAATCCACACGTCGAGCATCTTGATATGTAGCGAACGCGTCCAAATGCACCTTTGGCTTCGTGGGCCGTACTGTTTCCAGTCCTGTACATTCACTGACGGACTCTTAGTGAGGACTTTTGTCTGTAAATGCAGCGGATATGGAGAAAAAAAATAAAAATTAAAAATTAAAAAAAATTTAGAAACCAGGCAGGTGTTTTGTTTTTTTTACAGGCCTTTAAAAAATAAGCTTCATGTGATTAGTAGGCACAAAGAGGTAACAGCTATAGCGGCGAGTGTTCGTTTTCTGGACAGCCGGGCATCTGACGAAACAGGAACGGTCAAAGTTCGGGGAGAGAGAGAGAGAGTGGTCGGCGCTGTTACCGGGAGTCCCTCTAGTGGGAGGGCAGCGTGGCGGCGTTGGCGGCGGTCAGCTGGCCCACGGCCAGCATCAGGATGTCCTTCTTCTCCTTGTAAAAACGCAGTTCTCGGCCCGCCAGCCTGGCGTCCTCCAGTTCCCGGTCCGTGGAGGCCAGCTCCTGCGCGATGGTGCCCGCCACGCTCTGCTCCCGGTTCACCCAGTCGGCCGCCATCTGGGTGCGCATGTCGTCGTCCAGGGCCCGGTGGGAGTAGTGGGCCAGCACCTCCTGGATTGGTCAGATCACCCATCAGCCTCTTTTAAACTAATTTTACATCTCGCACATGTGCGCTCACAATGAGCTAAATAACTAAACTGCTACTTTGAATGAGTCTAGAAAAGAATATATATATATTTTTTTCCCCTTGTCTTTTCATCCAAGAAACTCTTTTAATAACACAGCTGCCACTCACAGGAAGAAAAGGACCTGCTCTTTCACAGAGAGGAAGACCTAACGTTTCATTTAGAAAAAAATGTTCCCTGTGGAAGATTAAAAAAACCTAACCCTGCACTTTTATAATTGAAGGCATGTCGTACAGTACCTGTCGGGAACACTGTCGCTCTCTCATTGCTTTGAGGCTTCCATTCCAGTGCAGCAGCTGAAACACAGTCATCAGCTCCTGGAGCACAAAAAAACAACAAGCTCAAGCCCCACATTCACCACTTCGAATTACTCAACATTTTAAGCCATGTTTAAAGGCCATTTAAACAGATTCCGCAAGAGGTGTTGCTTCACGACAGGCAAACAAGCAAGAAATCTCCACCTAACGTCTGGATCTTTTTTTCAGCGGCACTTATTTGGGCATGATCCGAAATCAGACACGAGTATAATTAAAAAACGGTTTTATTTACCTGGAACTCCAGCATAGACTTTCCTTTGTTGGATTCGAGCATGAAGCGGAACGCACCGATCCCTGTGTTGGGATTGTCAGCCTCTTCCCTGTTTCCCTGTATAAAAAAAGAAAAAGAAACTTTTTTTAAAAAGCCAGGGCTTGACACTCCTGGTGTATCTTGCCTGTTTCCGTACCTTAAAACATTTACATTCCCTTAAAAATCTAAGATTTATGCTGCTTTAGGGCGTCAATTCGCAATCATTTGCTTGATGTCTATATTTCTAACCACTTATTTGGATCCAGCTCAGTCAAGTTAAGTCTCAGTTTGCATGAAAGTGTGAACATCTTCCAGAAATCAGTTCTAGTTGTAGTTTACTTACATTGAAAGAGGCCAGAGCCTCATTCACGCTTTTCTCTATGAAGTCGTCTGTGATTCGCCGGGAGGGATGCTCATTAAAGACGGAGTTCATCAGAGCAATCTTGGCGGCGCTGCGCCTCGCCTCCGCCTTAGTCGGACAGAACTGACCAAGAGTAGAGGGAATATGATCAGAATAAGCTTTACGACCCCACTTTAGAAAAAGGTCCCAAAGACAAAGCACATTTACTGACGTTCAGTCGTAGAAAAAACAACAAAAAAGAGAACAGACTGAGTACCTGGAAACTTCCGAAGCAGCTTCCGCCCGGGAGGCTTACGTAGCAAACGTATGGAGGGCTGTTCGACGGCACCATTTCATAAACCACCAGCGCTCCGTTCCGCAGGTCGGCCCCTCGGGTCTGCTTCATCTGCCAGAACTCCTGCAAAGCTTCCACCACGTTTACTGAGGGGGGCAAGCACAAAAAGCTCCTGTCAGCACCCCAAAAAAACCCCCCAAAAAAACAAGACAAGAGGAAAAAATTCACCATCCCTCAAGTCGTTTAAAGAAAAAAAACAAACGCAACTCAACATGTTAGCTGTTCATAAGACAAAAGTTATATTTCTCCCTCAGATAGGAAACAATAATAAAGAATAGTGGTGGAGGATGGGCCCAGTCATAAATGCTTGCTTAGATTTAGGAAGTTTTTTTTCCCCCCACGCAGCCGTGTTTCACTGGGGGAAAAAAAAAAGACAAAATCTCTGTCAACAAACGGGAAGGCATCGGAAACGTAAATCCCTTTGGAGTGCAGTCCAAATAATTCATCATGCTCACTCTGAGGGGCAGTAAAACATCCAGTATACACGCTCGTCTTTTTTGTTAGCGAGTCATAAAATAAGGTTTATGTGATTTTCACATGTTTATAGACTCTAATCCACTCCGCGCTACCATCGGGGAGGCATCAGCTCCCAAAGTCATTCCGCAGCCCGACCATGCGTCCGAAAACGCGGCCAGATCCATAAAGAGGCCCATTTTCAGCCACCGGGAGGAGGACAGTCTGAGCCCCGGATTCAGCATCGTGGAATTAGACACAGATTACAAAGCGGGACTCTAAAGGGAGACTAAGAAAGCACCTGGATAAATATGGGCGTCACTTGTGGCCGTTCCAACCGACACAGAAGCAGAAACCTATCCTTCTGTTCCTTTTTTTTTTTATATTTACGACCCAAAGCTTCTTCAAGATGCAACATGATACAGTGGATTTGCATGGAGGGGCATGCACAGTTGTTTCCCTTGAATGGAGGTCAAACAATGCGAGTGCAGAGGGTCGATTTCCTCAGCAAAGGCGGCGGAGTGACACAGGAAACACTAGAGAGACTGTGAAGGATCGCAGGCTGCATTGGAGCTGCTCCAAACTCACAAGGGGACCATTTACAGGACGGGATTTCGACTCTCAGCCCAGAAATGCATCTGCAGCTTTAGCCCCGAAACAAGCCTCTTGAAATCATATACACAATTCTAAAAAAAAAAAGAAAAGCCAAATTTCTGCCAAATGAAATGGAAGTGTATTACTGCCAATCGTGCAACGGCAGCCATCTGCTAATGTTGAAAGTATTAAGTGGCCTAAATGGGATAGAGGAGGGGCCAGGCTGTTAGTCTGAGAACAGAGGGACAATCTTTTGGGAACAAATCCTATTAGAACACAGCATGAAGCGCCCGTCTCAGATCCAACAGCAAACACTCTATAGATGTTGTTTTTTTTAGTCAAATATTGGCGAATGTCTCGCTCTCTTTGTGGCGCTGTCACATACTGGGACACCAAAAGGTTTTGAATTATACCAGAACTCATCAGGTAAGGATTTAGGATTTATGGTTCACATGTAATAAAAAGTCCCAGAAACCCAGAGGAGATACTTCAGGTATGGTCAGTAAACACTGACCCTGAAGGCGCTCCGGCTGAAATCTGGCTGCTGAACCAGGCCCAAACCTCACCCGGATCAAGGTCAGCTGCTTGTCCAGAGCTTGCTTTCCACATGGACCGAAAACCAACATCTGACCCAAATCCAGAACATCAACTCCTGACCAAACCATGAAATCAATGCTGGGCCCAGAGCTGGCTCCCTGTTGGCCAAACAGGGGGGGTTCAGCTGACCAGAGGAATGTCAGCAAAACTGTACTGTTTTTGTTTTTTTAATTCACATTTTGCTCTTCAATGTATTCCTAATTATCTGGCCTTTTTTTAAAATCATGCTATAAAGTCCATGTAGCCCAATGGAACGCACGAGGACAGATGGTGACAGCTCATCAGATAATAAAAAAAAAACGATTTTCCGTGAACATTACAGGAATGTCCGTTTTTTTTTTCTTCTAAACAAATGGCGCAGCGGAAAGTGGCCGTCTCCAAACTCCCCTCCCCAACTACAAACTGAAAACGGTGTGACACGAATTAACGTCTTTATCACCGTGTGTCCGGTGTGTGTTCGGTACGGGGAGGGGGTGGACGTTACCTCGGCCGTAGCCCTGCGTGTGTTTGGCGAAGCTCCGGACCACCGCCTCCACCGCCTCCTTCAGCACGGCCGGGTTCCCCGGGTTGCAGTGTCCGCCGGCCCCGGGCCTCCCGAGCCCCGCCAGCCCGGCCCCGGGCGCCCCCAGCCCGGCCCCCACGCCGCCGTACAGGCTGTGGAGCTGCAGCAGCGGCGGCGGCGGCGGCGGGGGGTGGTGCCCGGACAGTGACACGGCCGGGGGGGGCAGCAGCGGGGCGACGGGGACCGTTACCCCGGGCCGGAGGGACGAGCGGAGGGTCCCCGTCGTCGGCCCCGAGCCGAAGCCGATGCCCGGCTGCAGCCTCTGGGGGCGGACGCTGTCCGGGAGGACGGTGGATTCCATTGTCCCCACGTAACGTCTGCCGAAAGTCCGGGTCCGGAGGTAAAAAAAAAAAAAAAGCTGCGCCGAAGAAACCAGCGACTGCCGCCGACAAACTCCGCTCACTGGTTCGGGGGCGTCCGAACAAAGCTCCGGCGGGGTTTCGTCGGTCACCGCCGAAATAAGAAGTTAACGAGCGTTGATTCGGCACACACGGCGGCCGCCGCTCCGCATCCCGGCTCTCTGGATTAGGCTGTGGGATTGTCAGTCAAACGATGCCTTCAGGGACGCCTCGGATCCTTCTCGTGTTGTACTTTTCATAGCTTTTTTTTTTCTTTTACTGAAGGAATTTTTATCATGTGTTCATTTTACTCATAATGTGGAATAGAAAGTGTGTGTTTTTTTGTTTTGTTTTTACCTATGACTGATGTTTAATCTTTCCATTAACACATTTTTGTTTTTTCTCTGTGTTATTAAATTGACAACGTAGTTGTGTTGTTACTCTTTGGCTTGCTTTGGAGTGCGCGTCTTTGGATAAATTGTGAAACATTTCCATTTATAACATCCCTTGGAAGAAAAGTCTGACTCGAAGTGGGAACCAAATAAATTGTACTCAAAACAGTAACGTTGACGTTAATCTCACAATTGATTTAGCATATTACAAGGCCCAGATTAATTGGTGGTTATGCCAAAAATCTACTTCAGAGGCATTAAGATTAGTAGACTGTCAGAACTTTCTTGTATGTTTGCATCTTTCAGGAAATAACTGCATGTATTTCTTGTTTTTCCGGGCAGTAGAAGAAATTCAAGGTGACACTACCACTTTACATAAATAGATCTTGCTGGAATTTATAAAGTGACTTGAAAATTTTAACTTAGAGTAATAAAAATAGTCGGAAAATCATGTGCCATTGCAGATAAACTAGAACCATCATGGGGGGAAAAGTCAGTTGAACCCTTCTATTTGGTTAATTGAAATTGAGGACCTACATGTTTATCGAAATTTGAAACTAGCTAGGTTTCCAATCACAATCAACTTCTACAGATTGACTTGGTGTTCTGTGATCAGTTTGTTCGATGTAAGACAAACTAAAGTGAGCAAAACAGAAGACAGAGGTGGACCAACACAGAAATGTTCCCTCTGGTTGAGTCGTTGTGTGGCACACAAGCTTACGGAGCTGGAGAGTCCAACGTTTTCTCCTGTACTTGAAAGCAGCAGTGGAAAGTCAGAGCGGTATCGTGCCAAGAAATCTGAGCCTCCTCTGTTCTCCTCTGGCAGCTCCACAGAACAACTACAGTGTGGCTTTACAGCTCCAGCTCTGCTGCTGCTGCTGCTGCTGCTGCAAACATTTGATTTCACTTGGAAACAGAGCAACCCAGTTCATTTCATAAAAGGGTGAAGAAAAAACAAAACAACATTTGCTCCCTGAAACAATTCAAATGTATCACAGATCTGAGGCACCTTGGTTTAACTAAGAACTGGTGGACCACCTACTTTGTGCAAGAACAAAGACCTAAGGAAATGAGACCTCCTCTTGTGCTTCCTAAAGAAAAAAAAAATACCACTTGCTGGATCTTGTGTAGTTTTTCATTCTTTCTGTGGTCTGGACAGAGGCCCACGAGGAGCAGAGGAGGACCAGACTTTTTGAAAGAGTCGACGCAGAAATTAACGTTTCTACTCATTTTCGCCCACAACAACAAATCTAAGATGTATAAATCTGAGTGAGAAACTGGGGACATTTGACTAGAAACTAAAAAAAACTATTTACAACAAGCCAAAGAAGTAAATCAGAACTGTAATGAGGGGTCAACGCACTGGAGGGCGTGCTCTCATCTGGACGTATCAGTAAATAACCACAGGTATGCAACTCTGTGGCTGACGTTTCCTCTGCTGTTGATATGGTTTCGAATGTTCAAGGAAGTCTTGTGTGTTTGTTTTTTTGCTCGAAATGTTGCCCTGGCAATAGACCCAGCAGCTCCACGAAGGCTGCTGCTGCTCTCCCCCTGTCAGAGTGAAACAGATTAGCTATCTATCGTCTCTATCAGACCACTCGATCACGGTGTTCAGCACTGTAAGTTGACTTGACAAACATTTATCTCACAGCAGATTTAAGATAATTAACCCGAGTCATTCGCCCGAGTGCCAGTTCACTGAAACACTTTGAGTATCCCCTCCTCAAAAAAATCTTTACTAATCCTTTAACGCTGTTTTCTACTGTAGATTTAGCCTCATTCTGACAACAAGGTGGTTTTCATTTACCACTTCCTGTGCTGGACACAGTAAATGCTGACATCCTTGAATTGTGCAGCTTCAGTAGCATCAGTCCAGACTTCAGAATGTGTCTCTTGTGTGTCAAAGCATTAAAATCACACTTTATTCACGTCACTGACTTCAACGAGACAGACTTTTTTTTGCAGTTTTCAAAAGAGGTCTGTCGGCTTTCTGAAGATTTAAGTTTTCTTTTCGCCAAGGCCCTAAGAGAAACAATAAGCCATTGTGTTCACCACACTTTGGAAATGCATGTTAATATTTTTGGAATGAAATTGAACTGGGATAAATTCACATTGCATTTATAAGGCCAACTTGACTTAGATAGGCCAAGGGACAGTGAAATCCCCAACATGCCATTATTTTGCATAATTTGTCATCTTTTTATAAAATCTTTTAAATGTAAGAGGGCAGTATGGCAGCCACACATCCAGTAAAGCTGCTCTCATTCACATTTCTTTTGTTACGCAGTGAAGACTGAGATTGAAAACGGGACTATTATAACTACACGTCCAGACACAGTCACTGAAAGGATTTCAAATCTGCCATCCTGCCCTTCCAAATCCCAGATTTCTTTAATAACTGAAACATGGTTTGACCAAATCTCCATTTGGGGATCCTAAAGGCATCATCTCTGCTACGTATTTGTTTCCACTTAGATGTAGGAGCACAAAGTTCGAAGCAGAGCTACATATTGAGTCAATGACTTGTTTCCTCATCCACATTTGTATTCTGGGACATGGACAGAGGTCAAGTTTAATAGACCAGGAAAGCTGTCTTGGATCTTTTGAATTTTAAAAGGAAAGCATTTTTTTGCCTCCTACTTTCAAACTTGAAAAGATAGATGAAAATAGGATAGATGAAATAAGAGAAAAAAGTTATAAACTGACCCTAAGAGATTGATCTGGACTTTCAGATTTTTAATTCCTCATCAGACATGGTCTCCATGGAGGGGTGGAGGGGTCAAGTAACCATCTTTGAAAAAGGGTAAAAAGGGACTCAGATAAGTGGTAAAATGTCTGATAGAGGCATGAATCCTCCCCAGAGCCTCAACTCAACATTATGAACCAATGTGGGATCATTACTACTTAGTTTCAGCTTTATCAAACAGGGGCCGGCTTAATATTCCTGCACAGTAAAGTCAATCATTTTTTATGCATTTATCTTAATGATGATACAGTTCTTAGTAAGTGTCAACATTATCTCTCTCTGACAAGCCTTTAGGTTGGAGGTTTATCTCTAAAGATTAAAACGAGGAGTCAAGGCCCTATTTTTTTTTCCTTCTAATTTTCTAATGATGTCATCTTACACAACAACATCTTTTTGTGTAATGCCTGAAATAAGAACCCCTTTTTTTTCTCAGCTTTTCAGCTGCCCTGACCACATCCCCCCCCCCCGCCCCCCCCCACATGCCTTCCATTACCACAGCCGGGATGCTTCTGGGTCTGGATTCCGTTCGGGTGCGGATGTCTCCGGGAGACATAAACAACAACCCTCAGCCGTTTTTCCACCGGGGGAGTCCAGCCCGGTGATGAGCAGATGCTGGACGCGGAGAACCATCTTTTTTTTTTTTTAGAGGCTCCCACATCTGGTTTAGATTGGAGCTAAATCAAATTCTTCAAACTCCAGCTCCGAGTTTTTCCCCCACAGATGGGTGGAATACTTAAAGAGTGTTTATTGGGCAGTTTTGTGTTGTTTATGCACCCCTTCTGACACATTTCTGTCCAAACATGTGCAGGGGATTGTTTTTATCGCAAAATGGGGCGCAGCACAGCTGACAAATTAATTATTTTACAGCCACCGTAAAGATAAACCGTTGGCTGGGAGCCAGGGGTGAAAGGTTTGCGTCCACATGCGTGAGCGTGACATGTAACCGATCTTCCCAAAGAGCAACCAAATGACACGTTTTCTCAAAGAGTTTGGGTTTTGCTGCTAATAAATCTCTGGAACGTTGGCCTTTAATGAAGAAAAATCAATAAAAGTCAAACTTGATCTTCTCAGTTGTGGGAGAAGTTATTGAGCCGCCCAAAAAATCTGATGGAGACTTTTTAAGAATTCCACATTAAAATACATTTTTAAAACGTTCCTCTTGGGCTGAAATGATTTGATACTGTTTGTAAAACTTTGGGGGATATTCCACTGACATTAAGTTTCTAGACTGTCCATTTTCATCCTACCAGTCCATTCTAGATTTTTCACCTTCTACTTCAGTGGTTCCTCATCATAAAGTTCATGTTGAACATGTTCAATTTCATCATGAAAGCACATGCAAAGCGTAAACTTCAAAAGCTCTCTTTAATGTCAGAGAAATGAGCAGTAACAATGCTTTAGAATAGAGTTTTCCAGATCATTCATGATAAACTTTGAAATCTGAAGTGCGTCAGAACGTTGAAAACAGCATCAACATGGGTGATAATGGCAAAAAAAGGAAGATATCCTGTCTATGTTGAACCCAAACGTCCTTCTGAAAAAGGTCCCGGCGTCCCGACGGTGATGTTATTACTGATGATTAAGTGTTTGGTTTAATCTGTGAGATAAGATGCCCCCCCCCCCCGCGTGCGGTCAGCAGTGGGCCGGTTGGACTTTGCTTGGCTTTGCCCAGGTGGCACTCGCAGCAGCAAGGGTTGAGAAAAAAAACACCCAATACAGGCTGTTCGCTTTCATCTGGACCAATCAGGTCTGGACTACGACACTGCCCGGGACTATAAGAGGATTGGGAGCCCCACACCAAAGCACCATCCGGTCCGAATTCCCCTGCAAGAACAGGTGAGTCCCATTCCTGGCTGAAATCCGTTAGCCAAAGATCCTAATTTCCATCTGGTTTTTAACTTTTATATTATCTCTAGGCAAATACATGTTGAAATAGTATCTTTAATTAGGTGGTTATTGGTTTTTAGAAACAAAAGTTTCAACCAAAAGAGAAAGAAGTCTTGATTTGTTTTCTAGCTGTTTTCCTGCTCTTTTCCTGAGCTGAGCCTTTAATCTCTGAAATGTAAGGGATTAAAAGTAAATCGCAAGAGGGCAGTTTGCATTTCTTGAATTAAATCAATGTTCAGGTGCTTCGGATTTAGAATACTTTGTATTTAGAATTCACAAGATGCATTAATGGCAAAGCAGCATTTTAAAAAAGTACCTGTTTACTTGAATAAGATGAAGAAAACAAAACCAATCCACATTATTTTTCTGCTGAAGCGTAAAAACTGATGAAATTTACAAGTTCATTTGGGCATTGTGACTTGAAACCCTTACGACTATCGAACCAGAGTGAGGTTTCCAAGAAGGGTTTTTATCAGTGAGCCATCCTGTTAGGCAACATTTGACACCAGTTCTGAAAAACAAACCCAAGTTTCTTTCAGATCCAGTTAATTTAACCTGGTTTTTTGTGTTTTTTTTTTCTAGGTCTCGTCCACCCAGCAGCCATGAAATTCTTCCTCCTCGCCGCCGTTGCCCTGCTCGCCCTGGCACACGGTAAAGTCAGACTTATGTGGTTGTTGATTCGACAGGTTTGGTTGACATTTTTTTTGTTTTTTTTTAAAATGCCGTTTTGTGACCCGCAGGGAGCGTCGCACAGGACGCTGCTGACCTCCAAAAGCTCAGCCAGTACCTGGATGAGATGAAGGCCAAGGTGGCTCAAGATCTGGGTCAGATTCTTGGAAACCCAGACCTGGCCGGTCAGGCTCAGTGAGTAGCCACCGGGCGGGCGTCACGCCTCACGTTTAGTCACGTGACCGAGTGTTTTCGGCTCAATCTAAAAGCTGTGGAGATAATCATTCTAGTGGACTCTGGTCAGGCTGCTGGATCAGCGTTTCACGGCTCTCTTTTCTCGGCAGGACCTTCCTGGAGGAGAACAAGAAGAAGCTGGAGCCTCTGGCCGCTCAGGTCCAGGAGCAGCTGAAGTCCGCCACCAGCAACATGGACGAGACGCTCAGACCTCTGGCCGAACAGATGCAGGCCCAGGTCCAGCCCATGATCGAGGACTTCCAGAAGCAGATGGAGGGAATCTTTCAGAAGCTGACCCAGCAGGCCAAAGCCATCGGCCAGTAAACGGACCCAGTTCAGGGAGTGTTTTTTCTTTTCTTTTTTTTTTGTGCTTGTAAAATGTTTTGACATCTCTGTAGCAGCACAATAAAAAATAAAAAAAATGGAGCACCAGGACGGCGTACGTGTCACTCTGTGGATTTACATTAGCTGAAATCTCAACCTTTTTGGGGATATGAAACTTCCTGTTAGAACAACAGACTCAAAACGGAATAAAGTAGGCATCAGAAAGTTTGAGGAGCCAATATCAACCCACACATGCCGATTATTTTACAACTTTTATTCAAGCAAGCAAAGGTCAGGGGAAATTTCACATCGGGCTTTTAGAGCTCAAACATTTAAAAGGGATAAAACTGCAGAAAGGAATGCTTTCAATCATATTGTGTCAAGGAATTCTCCTCTAAAACCACCCTGGAACTGATCATTTTTTATTTTCGCGTTTTTTTCACTTTTTTTTTTCCATTTTTAAACTTAAACTCAGCAAACCAGGCCTGGTGTTCAGAGTTTCATTGGAGGCCTGGTTGGAGACTTGTTGCCGTTGTCGGTTTTTTTGTTATTTGAATTCTTTTACTTTGTTTTGTACATTTTTAACTTTTCTGAAACCCCCTCATCCGTCGTTGACGCTGGTCTCAAGGTTCCCCACTCCTATTAGGAAGTAAACAAAAATTTAATTAGGACTTATTCTCCTTTTTGTTTAGTTTAAAAAAAATTTTTTTTTTACAAAAATCCTGAAAAGGTATACCTTGGGTTCAGACACTTGGGACACCAGCTGAATTTGTCACGGTCTTCTGGGCGGCTTCTTTGGCCTGGTGGGCCTGAAGCACGGCCACCGCCTCGTCCACCTGTACAGATCATGTGGGTCAGCAATGCTCAGCCCCACCCCCCACACACACACACACTTTAAGGTCTGAACCCAGCAGAATCGAGCAGTTAATATCAAACTGGAGTGCGGACCTTGGAGCGGAGAGACTCTGGGGACTCCAGCATGTGGAGCAGCTCTGAGTTGTCAATCTCCAGCAGCATGCCGGTGATCTTGCCCGCCAGGCTGGGATGCATGTTCTGGATCAGCGGGAACAGACGCTCACCTGCGGGACGCGGGGACATGGTGTCAGACACCCGGGGCTAACTCGGGGCTAACTTTGCGGGGGGGGGCGCGGGGCTCCGTCCAGCATCCTTACCCAGCATCTGCTTTTGTTCCTGCGGCGGGGCGGAGGCCAGCATGGAGGCGGTCAGAGGCTCCTGTCCCTGGACGTGAACTGCAGGCTGTGGGGGGAGAGGGGGGGGGGGGGGCAGGAAGGCATGGAGGGCACGGCCACAGGGGGGCACAGAGGAGCGGGGGGGGGGGCGTTCCTACCTGCTGCAGGGCGATCTGCGGCTGGGCGCTGATGTGCTGCTGGGGATTCCGGACCCCTGAGGCGTACTTGTACTGGGGCACCCCCCGCACCGGGGCGCCGGCCGCAGCCGCGCCGGCTGGACGGGGACCCACGTTCTGACCGGCTGCACAGAGGAGAGGACAGAGGAGAGAGAGAGAGAGAGAGAGAAAAAGAGAGAGAGGGGTCAGGGTGCTAAAAGGCCAGAAAAGCGAAGGCTCGCCGTGCTCCTGGCGGTACGGGACTGACCCACGCGCTGGCTGGACATCATGCGGGGCACCTGGGAGGAGGGGCGCATGGACCCGAACGTCTGGGGGCGCGGCGCCGAGGGGCGCATGGCGCCTGGCATGTTCTGGAAGTCTGAGCACACACACACACAGACACACACGCCACCGTTTCAGTTTCCCGCCGGCCTCGCTTCTGATGCAGAAAGCGCAAATGCGAGCGGACGAGCACTCACGCTGCGGCCGGACGCCTTGGGTGGTCCAGCGGGGGCTGGGGCGGAGCTGGGCCATCTGGCCGGCGGCCGGGTAGTAGGCGGTGCGGTTCTGGGCCTGGGGGATGGCGGCCATGATGTAGCCGGAGGGCGGCACAGGCTGGTAGGGGTTGATGACCGTGTTGGGCACGGCGCGCACGCTGGCCATGCGCTGCATGTACTGGTTGGTCAGGTGGGCCTGCCGCTCCTCCTTCCGCTGGGCCAGCGCCACGTACAGCGGCTTGGTGGCCACGATGCGCCCGTTCATCTCCGTCACCGCTTTGGTGGCCTCCTCCGGGGAGGAGAAGCACACGAAGCCGAAACCTTTGCTCCGGCCGCCCTCCATCATCACCTGAGAGAGACAGAGAGAGAGAAGGAGAATATAAAATATATGAACGCTGCATGTTGGTGAATCAATAACAGCACAAACACAAGCTCAGTCCTACCTTGGCACTGGTTATGGTGCCAAAAGGCAAAAACTCCTTCCGCAGGCGTTCGTCATCAATCCCGTCATCGAGGTTCTTCACGTACAAGTTGACGCCCTGCGAATCCGGAAAATTAAATCTGAGATTTGTTTTTGAAACGTAAAAGCTGAATAAAAAAGGCTTTTCCGCGCACGTGTTTGTGTCTGCAGGACATGTTTATCCCCAAGCTCCACGGTCAGGAAAAGTGGGGCCCATGACCTGCAGGGTCGCTGTGGCAGCCATTTTGGCCGGTGCAGCCTACCGCGCAGGGAGCACCGAATTTGACAAAGCTGCGGGCGTTTCTCAGACGTGAGAACTCTGGGATGTCAACGAAAAAAAAAAAAAAAAAGGGACTGACCTGGTAGCGTGTCATGCGGTCCTGTTTCATTTGTTCAAATTTCCGCTTCAGCTCCGTCTGTCGCTCAACTTTCTTCTGGGCACGCCCGACATAGATAAGCTTACCGTTCATCTCCTTTCCGTTCATCTCATCCACAGCCTGAAATGACAGCAGTAAAAAGGCTTACTAGGTCACAAAAATCAAACAGAAAGTTAAAAAAAAAAAAGGAATCTAGGCTGTTCAGATCTTACCTTCTGGGCATCCTCGTGCCTTTCGAAGCTGACAAACCCAAAACCTCGAGACTTCCCGCTGTCATCAGTCATGACCCGGATACTCATGGCGTTTCCTAAGCAACGGAGAGCCTCAATTGACCGACGCCGTCACAGAGAACAAGTTGGAAAGGTTCGGGAACAAGGGATGTCCCGACTGACCATATTTACTGAAGAGTTCCCTCAGCTTCTCGTCGTCCATCTCCTCACCGAAGTTCTTGATGTAAACGTTTGTGAACTCTTTGGCCCGGGCCCCCAGCTCAGCCTCCCGCTCTTTGCGAGACTTGAAGCGGCCCACGAACCTGCGACAGGATGCCAGAATTCAAGACACAAAACCCATTTCTTCCAATCCGGTTCGATTAGTAGGCAACCCGAGTGGCTCCAAACTCAAATGTTAAATCATTCACTTACACTTTTCGGTCATTGAGCAGCATGCCATTCATTTTCTCGATGGCTCGTTCGGCCGCCTCCTGAGTCTCAAAATGCACAAAACCGTAGCCTTTGGAGCCATTCTCGTCACAAACCACCTTAGGGAGAGAAGAGGCGTGCCGCTTTTATGACACACACATGCTGCAACAACCTGTGAGTGTTGTAGTATCAGCCACGCCGACTTCTTCTCTAGCCCCGGACTTTGTTTAGTTAATGCCATAAACCCCTCCACACACACACACAACACTCTGCTGGTTTATTTACACACATTGTGCCATCTGCAGCGACAGATCCAAACTATGACGCATTATTAATTTAGCCTCTGAGCTGCATTTCTCAGAATGAGCAGCTGAGAGACATCCGTTAGTAAGAGAGGAGGTTTTTCACCAGTCTGTCAAACAGACGACAGGAAGCAAACCACGCACACGACCCAAAGCTCTACTTACCACCCCCCTGCGTCGAATTAAGAGCGACGGTGCGATCCCACGGCCGTCCAGCGACTTACCTTGCATGACAGGATGTTGCCGAAAGCAGAGAAGGTGTCATAAAGAGCCTTGTTGTCGATGGACTTGTCAAGATTCTTGATGAAAATGTTTCCCACGCCGCTTTTTCTCAGGGATGGATCACGCTGCGACCACATGATGCGCACAGGCCGCCCCTTGATCACATCAAAGTTCATGGTGTCCAGTGCACGCTCAGCTACATAACACACACAAAAAACAAAAACAAACAGGAGAAACAGGGTCACTAATGCAGAAATGGGTCGTTTCTGGGACAGCGTATAGAGGACTGCATTTACATTTAGTTTTTCCTGCCCAACCAGCAATCAAAATTCAAATTTATATCAATTATTTATTCTCATATGGGATGTCTGTGCACCTTACACCATCCCAAAGGCTTATTGTTCAGGCTGTGCCAGCTGGGTGTGAAAGTAGGCCCCGGAGAGCAAAAAAAGGGGCGAAGACCGACTTGTGCTCTTATCAATGATGCGCAGGACATTTTCGCAGGGAGATAGAGTTCTGTTATTCACAATCCAAAATGGTTAACACCTTTTACAATCCTCCCCCCCCCCCCATCACCAACATAGTTTGAAACCCTGATGTCAAAACCTTAACTCATGTGTATGGCAGACATTCTGACTGGGCCTAAAGGAGGGACTGCTGTGTCAGCAGTTTGGGTTTAAACAGTTGGGGTGGCGTCAGGACAGAAAATTGATTTTTTTTAACATTTTTTTTTTTTAAAGTAAATGCTCTCAGCTAACAGTGGGGCTTGCCACATTTTTAACTGAGGTGGGCAGGGCGGACCCGTGTGCTCGTCTCTTGCTACGCCACTGCGGGGAGTTTCACTGGAGGAAAACCTTCCGACAATATGTCGGCTGCAGTCACGTGTGGGAAAAGGGCTAGCTCTAGCACTTTAAAAAAAAAAAAGAAAAGAAAAAGACACGCTTTTTTTTTTTTAATATTTTAAAATAAAATAATTTTTTTTTTTTTTTTTTTTTACTAAATGACCCACCGTCCGCTGGCTGTTGGAAGTTGACATAGGCGTATCCAAGGGAACGCCGGGTGATCATGTCCCTACAGACCCGGATCGAGAGGATGGCTCCGGCCGGGCTGAATTTCTCGTAGAGCATGGCCTCGGTCACATCTTGATGCAGGTCTCCGACGTACAGGGAGGCCATGGGGTAACTCGGAGCGCTGGGGTTCATCTTCGTAGTCGGTGTCGCGGTGTGATGGGGGGGGGACGTGGGGAGGGCAGGCGGTCTGGTCGGACGATGCTCGACGTTCACAACTGAAAAAGTTACGAATGTTCGAGGTCCAAACGGTCGCCGGCCGTCACCTCAACCGGGGTCGAACGGTGGTGTTGGCACACGTTACACGAACGTTGACTTGACAGTTGCCCGGCGAGAACGGTGTCCGAAACAAAAAGAAAGGGCAGAGTTCTCTCCGGCGTTGGAGCTGTCGTTCAAATTTAACCAACGAAGGTGTTTTTAAAAAAAATTAAAAAAAAGAGGAGCTAACCTTGGCCTGGCTTCTGAATTGGTAACACGTCACCTGAAAAAAAATGTGTCGTTCGATACGTTTGACAGCCTTTTTCTTGTACGTTACCGTCCTGTCACCCAGCGTCCGTTCCAGCTTCACCGACTTGTTACAGAAAGAAGAAAAAAAAAGGGATTTTTTGGGGTTTTTTTATGTTTTAAATTTTTTTTTTGTATTTTTATTTTTTTATAGAACGTGTGCCGAGCGAGCTCAGGAACACACGCGCATTCACTCAGCACTGACAGCCGGGGTTGAGGGGAAGGAAGTGGAAGGGTGGGGGGTGTATATATAGGGGTGTCTACGTCATCAAAACGGACCAATCATCTTGGGTTGTGTTTGAAAAAACACGGAAAAAGGGGGCGTGTGTCACAACTGTACGCATGATGATGAAATCATGTAAAACGTAACGTTAAAGGTTGAAATTCACTTATTGTATCGGCAACAATGCCTAATTGTTAAGTGACGATGAACAGGAATGACGTGAATTCGTCCTTGGTTAGGATTTACGTGTCAGTATGCTTACAAATCCCGTAATCACACACCATCCAGTGATAGCTGCTAGCTCTCTTCCTGGGAATTCCTTTAGCTCAAGTTAGCTGGCATGAGCTGCCCACAAACAGAAAGTGAAGCCCTTTTCAATGTCATGATCTTAGGTGTTTGAGCAGTATAAAGAAATAATCTAGTTCCCATCAAATATTGATATTTCAAGATTTCCTTACTCACCTTATTAGGTGAGTAAATCTTCAGATAAAGACCAACACACACAGTGTCACAGCCCTTTGTGCTTTAAATGAACAGAAAAAGAACTAGGCCAAAACACAGAGGCAGTGAGCAAAGAAGTAAAACATCTGATGATCCCAAACATTTTACGCACATGTTTCGTTGCAATCGTTTGCAGTGAACTAATCGCTTAAATCCCAGACTGATGGCCACATCCATGACACTGGAAAACCTTGTTATACAGAAAGTCTCTTGGTCAACTCAATGCCAGTAAAGCAGTTCAAATCATCGACCCTTCACTGCCGTGTATGGACAGTAAAAATGGGTCATTGGAGCCGATACGCTGTTTTTCTCTTACTTTGCTTTAAGGTCAGACATCTCTACTTTAGTTGTATATCAATTCGGTTTCAGTTCTGATGCGAATCAACTTTCATTCTTATCCTTATTAGAGAAAAGAGGCTTCCCCATGGAAAACTGTACAAACCAGTCATACTTGTTCAGTCCTTTCCAGATGCTGAGTAAAGCATGTAGATTTTTAGATGTAGCTGTTTCTTTATGCACTCACACCCCTGATACCTGAGTTGGAACTTTGTCAATGTCCACTCCTGAGTACATTATCCACTTGTAAAAAGTCAAGTCTGTTTTAGTCATTCGTCGAGCAATCACATGACGACCCTCATTTGATATAGTGTGAGGTCACACAGGACTTGTGATACGCAGAACATCACACATCCGCTTTATGACGTGTGAGGTTCAGCTGTCATGTAAACAGGAAGAATCCAGCTCTTATTAAATAAAATAACCTATTTAAATAAAAACATTTTTAAATATTGTCCTGTGCCTGATAGCCCATCTACATCATGCCTCTCACACTTATTCTCATCAGTAGAGGGCAGCAGCATCAGTGGGGACAGCAGTCAGAAATCTGAGCACTAACTATGGATATCAATAAGTATTTTCATGATGCAGGAAAAGGAATTTTGTCTTACCATTATATTAGTCTAACAGGTTTGGTCCAGGCACAGCCCTCAAGTGTTTGCTGCAAGCAGAACTGAAAGCTCAGGTCATTGGGATGACAGTATATGATGCTGAGAATCAAAGACAGCTTTTATGCACCTATGCAACTATCAAAAATGTTTTTGAAAAAATACAAATATGCACATCCACTTTAAATGTTTTAATTCCACTTACATGAAATCACAAAACCAAATAACGTACTCAAAGTGTTACTTGCCAATTCGGAATCCTGCCTCCCTTTTTTTTTTCTTCTTTTTTTTTTAAAACCAAGATACTGTAATTAGAGGAAACTGGCTCTAGTTTGTTTATACTAAATGGCTTTAATGCAGCTTTCTACCAAGATACTTTGATAAATAACCTTAAACTCAACATGGCATTAGTTAATCTTTTCATGATTTAATAAAAAAAAAAAGATTAAAGATACTGTAAACCACGGGTTAAAGTTGATTTCTAACCAATAAACTGCCAGTTTCAAAGCATGACTAACCCTCACACCACACTACTGAGAACCACATACATTCCAGGAGTCAAATCAAGAGTCAGAGGGAATAAAATACACAAAAAACAAAATACAAAAACACCTGAATAGAAAAAGAGTAGAAAGCCACATAAAAGCACATGGCAAAAGTATCCTCATCACTGCTGAAAAGATAAAATATCAAAAAGTTACAGTATCAAGCCATTTTATCAAGTTGTTCACGTTTATCTTTGACCATCTCAACGTTGTCAGGTGGTATGCAAAACTGCAGGAAATAAGTCTACACATTTCACTGTGGATTACAGCCCTCTCAAACAAAAACAAAGAAGAAAAAAAAAAAAAAAACAAGAAAAAGGAAAAAAAAAAAAGATTCAAAGTTTAAGCAGCCATTCACACAGAAAACATTTCCGAAAGCCAGAATGCTTTGAATCATGATCATGTACCATCCATGAAAACACTACCTGCTACGCTGGACATGAACAGGGCGGGATGAATACAAGCTCTACGTTAAAGATCTTCACCAAAGTAATAAATACCTGCTAACAGTTAATGATCACTGCCTTTGTCAGTTGTGGAATTGTAGACTGCGCTCGCTTCAACAGAGTTTTAAGAAGCAATACGTCACAAAGTTTGAAAACTTTCAGTTCAAGTAAAAACATACAAACTGTCAAAGTTAGTCAGAGGTGGGGTTTTTTTGTTGTTTTTTTTGTCCTCTAACAGGAGCAGTTTGTTACAGTGAATAACGCTAAAGAACGCGGGCGGATTTGGATCTGAGGGAGGAATGTCATCTGGACTATAACAGACAAAAAAAAAAACATCCACGAAGAGTTATTGGGCAGAGGAAAAACAAATCTATTCCATTCTTTTCTCTGTGGAGGTGCTCGTACAATTAACCACATACCCACATGCACACACACGCTTCAATGTATCTGCACACACATACTGTACTTTACACCTTGTGAGGGGAGTGTAAACATACATATCTGTGCATGTATGTGCACACACAGCCACGCACACAACTTAGGCTGGTGAGAGGTAAAAATGTGTTGTTTTTCCCCTTTGTCAGAAGTTCAGTTTTTCTCGGCGGCCGGCTCCGTCTCCTCTCCCTCCCCTTCGCCCTCTCCCTGAGCGTCCGACATCCACAGCTGCCATCAAGCACAGGACAAGTTTTAGTCAGCACAACAGTGGGAGGAAAAAATACAAATAAAATCTGGTTTGTGGGGCCGGTTAAAGCGTGCCGCTCACCGTCAGATTGTCGCGGAGCAGCTGCATGATCAGGGTGCTGTCTTTGTAGGAGTCGCTGTTCAGGGAGTCCAGCATGGCGATGGCTTCGTCAAAGGCCTGGCGGAAGCACAAATGCTCAGCAGGGCTTTTTCAAACTGGACTTGGAAAACGTGCTCACACATGCTGTACGCACAGCATGTGTGTCTCATTTCTTTTCAAAAGTTACAAGATCGGATATGAAATCTTTGTTGTGACACATACTCTAACCTTACTGCAGATACTAAGACAATGAGCCCGTGACAGCTGGTTACCCCCCCACCATCCGTGTCCAAATGGTGCACTGGTTTTGTTCTTAATGTAAAAAATCACGCTATGATCCCAGAATGATATTAGAAACTAGGAGACTTCAGCCAAGATGCATACAGGAAAATGAATGGCCAAGTTTTCAGTAAATTCAACATCTGTAATACGACCTGCTGGATGTTGTCTCCTAGTATCATCAAGAGAAAGACTGTTGCTGGAGAGGATTGTGTTTAAAAGATAATCTTGTGCAAGGGAAGCCATGAATAGAATTCAGAAATATAGAGGGCTCAGCTTAATTTTGTGATTAAACACAAAAAAGGTACCTTTAAAGCTCATGGTTCAATCTAACATGAGACCATCTAAGCAATCCTAAAGAGGTACAGGCTCTAATGCTACCGTAAAAAGGACTGTAGCGATGGAGAGTGTTTGCTGCTGCAGCAGAAAATCACTGCCGTCCTTTGGGGAATTTCACCTTGGTTCAAATACCATAGGAGGAACCCATTTACCTCATTATGCCTCTGAGAACTGCAATCACAAATGTGCACTCGCAGTAATTATCAGGCCCAGCTTCAATTTAGCATCGTTCTGCTTTCCCAGCTTGTTGTATTCATGTTATAGAAAAACATTAATTGGATGGCTGCTTCTGTTAGGAGCCTCTTTGATGGCACAACTTAAACACGTATCTCAACCCTAACAGTACATTTTTCTGTGAGAAAACAGTGAGCAGATGGGGATTCTTACCGATTTGGCCAGCTGGCAGGCCTTCTCAGGTGAGTTAACGATCTCGTAGTAAAAGACGGAGAAGTTGAGAGCGAGGCCGAGGCGGATGGGATGTGTGGGCGACATTTCTTCGGTGCTGATGTCCAACGCCTTCTGGTAGGCATCTTGTGAGTTTTTGATGATCTCTACACAAAGAACAATAGACCAGTGAATATGCAATCATTTTAAATGGGAACTAAAATTGGTTGACAAATGATATGATACCGGAAACATCGTTATCAAAATGTATATACATTTAGGTGAGAATTTCGAGATGTAAATAGTTCTTAACAGTATGCGTTTAAATTCCTGTAAAATGTTAAAGATGGGCGTTTATTCCAAAACGGATTACAAATATAATGGAGAAATATAAAACTCCCAAAAAAATATAAAACTCAATATAAAACTCAAAATGTGTGAAAAGTAGCCTGAAAAGTAGCCTGAATGATGATCACTGAAAAAAATATCCATAATTTTGATGGAAAGCAACAAACATCCAGAGCAAAAACGATCAAAGATGAAAAGCAAAGCAACATCACTGACAGTTGCCACATGCACCAAATAAACCCTAAAACACCTCCTGACAACAAACTGCAGCCAACACCCTGGTGCTGCTCCTGTTGCCATGACAACCCAGCGGCAGCCCCTGCCTGCATTACGGCTGACAGTTGTAGGTCAAGGACGAATAGGATGTCGGTATTCTGGCTACAAACACTTGAAACAATTCCAGGGGGCACTTGTAGTGTGAAGGATTTATGGGACCACAAAAATCCGCACACCTCGCCCCATCAGTCTAACCAGCGTGTCCCAGACCAGGAAAGAACTGGGCCTGACCCACCGCTGGTGGAGCCCCCCCCCCAGTGACTGCATGACCCTTCAGGGAGATGATGAGCAATGCTCAGGGGGCGTTTTCCTCACCATCCTTGGCCTCTCCGGCTGCCACCTCAGCCAGGTAGCGGAAGTAGTCTCCCTTCATCTTCAGGTAGAAGACTTTGCTGTCAGCGGGCGTTGCTTTGGGGATCAGAAATTTGTCAAGCAGCTCCTGCAGATTGAACAGAACAGCGCCTGAGCTTTCACATTTGCTTTAAAGTGAAGCTCCAGCTCTCTGCAGGATGTTCACTTCCTGCATTCCTTAACAACACAGTCATTGTCCAGGTTAGACATTGTTTAGTAACACACGTAATTATTCAAATTTCCCTAAAGGAAAGCACATTTACGCTCGGTAAAGTCATGTTGAGTCCTGAATTATATTCCAACAGTGGAAGTGAATGTGCACATAGGACTTATTCATACAAAGTAATGTTCACCCACAATATTAAAACACCTATAGAATAGGAGGGCTTTCTGTCCATGTGGCATCTATGGCAACATGAAGCTTCAGCTACTCTTGAGCATTTGCCATTTTCAACTCAAATGATTTCCATTCAGCCTGATTTCTGAGGACAACTGATGTAACTGAGCAACAAAAGCGTTGTTATGCTTTTTTATGGGGACAGTTGCCATGCTACAGACAAATCTGAGTCCGCCTCTTAGCACATGGTTTTTTTATGGCCATCCACCTAAGTGATGCTCGGATACTCATGAAAGCACCGCGGCCGCCCAGTAGGTGTCCCTACTGCGCAAAAGGCCAGGCCTGATGTCGGTGACCACTGAGGTGTAAAAGGACACAGGACGCAGGGATGACCTTGATTATTCTGAAAATATCCCATTAAACACACTGGGCAGCTGCTTTTTCATTCCTGATGGGATATTGTATTAATAATCTCCGACATTTTGCATAAAGCAAAGAAGAATTGACACTACTGTTAGTACCTCTGGGTTTCTTTGAGGGAAACCTTCTCTGGCAAATATACAATGCAAAGTAACCAGCATCCATTCATATCTCACAGATACACTGGTCAAACCTTTAGTCCTACAGTGAAGGGCTCATTACTTCGGCCATTAACTGAATCTTACTATTCTGAGTAATCCACCAATGATCTCAGCTGCTTACCAGAACTTCTTTGCAGATGTCATTCAGCTCCTTCTCGATTTTCCCTCTGTACTCCGTGGCCAGTGCTTTCTTGGCGTCGTCATCAGATTTCTGCTCCATGCTGGACACGACCCTCCACGAGGACCTTCGAGCCCCCACCACATTCTTGTAGGCGACCGAGAGCAGGTTGCGCTCCTCGTTGTTGAGCTCCGAGCCCTCCTCGGTGACGGCCTTCATGGCTGCCGCCATGTCATCGTAACGTTCGGCCTGCTCGGCCAGCTTGGCTTTCTGTACCAGGTCCTCCTTGTCTGCCATGACTTCTGTGTGGGTCAGGAAAGAACGGGCCAGAGATCTTAGAGAGATTTTACAAGAGCGTGTCACATGGAAACATTCTGTCCTACCTGTAAAATTCCATTTCTTCTCAGTTATCTGAATCAATTAGTACCCACGTGTTTACATCAGATCACACAGAAATAGCTAAAGGTGTGAGGGGGGTTCACGGAAATTCTAAATATTTCATCTATAGATCAGAGGGACATCTATACGTTAACTGTAAAACACCACAAAATCCCGAGAAATTTATGGGAAAAAAAACGTCAAAACTGCAGATTTGGACAGTTTGATGTGCCTTGTCCACAGAGACCCTGAATGACTAAATCCTTTAACAGAGACTTTTTCTTGTGGGAGGATCTCTGAGGGGTGTGTTTCGCAGGGGAGAAAAAAACATGCACGAAAAAAAGATATAAAAAGACAGAGAGAAGTCATTAAAAGAGATTAAAATTACTTGAATAAGGACAGCTTTTTTGTTCCTCTGACACCAGTCAGACAATGGGTTTAGGCAGTCCGTTCTATGTGGTAACTGTAGTCTTTAAGTATCAACCACAAGCTTAGAAATAATAGCAGGCAATGACTTAAAATACACCAACTAATGGCCAGTGGTTTCTATCATTGGTTATAATATGATGGTTAGTTAGCTCATCATCAAATTATCATAAGATTTAAAAAAGTTTTAACATACAGGTTTTCAGGTTAACTATAATCAAAGAGATGTCTTAATTTCATTTATATATATTTTTTTAATTACAGACTTCTCTGTCTTATAAAACCAGGAATAAACCTATGAGTCCATCCATTTTTTTTTTTATCCACAAGAACAGATTTCCCAGCACCCAGACACCTGCGCCCTTCAGAGGAATGTCGGCCACCCAGTTTCACGTCACCCACCCACTCACGCTCACGCGCGCACACACGCACACACCTGCCCACCCAGATTGTACTACGTCCGGTATACAGACCGTGGAAATAGCTTTTTTTTTTTTAGGTTATTAAAATTCGACATTATCAGTTTAATACCAGGAAGGCCTAGCAGTTAAGCTAACACGGGGGGGTAAAACAATAGCCGTGTCACCAAATCAAAAGTGCCTAGCTTACTTCAGTTCACAGTGAACGCCCTTTTTCGCTTCCCGGAAAACAAACCGGAGCTGTTGTCTTTGTGGATAATTACCGTTCATTTTAGCCCGGATTCATTTAATAAACCTACGTTTCTTTACTCAAAAGCAGCATTACAAACGCCCCGAAAGCACGAAGAGACGCCTTAACGTGCAGCTACTTGCACTTCTCATTCAGCAACCGCCGAACAATGACTGAGCCGCGGAGCATCAGTGATTTCAACCCACGGTCCCCCAAAGCGGCGCTGAATGCGCGACTAAGAGCGCGCCCGGAAAACATTAAGCGAATTTCTGTTATGCGTAGCCTCAATTCATAAAAGAAAATTATATTGGACCAACCTGCGAGTGCAGTTTAACGATGTCGCTGCTGATTCCCGTCCGCACAGCTGATGATCTCTCCCGCTCATCCACGGGGTTTCCCTCCAATCAAAGACAGAGCAGCAGGGTCGCACCGGGACTGATGACGTCAGAAGAGAGTTGCTAGGGCAACCAAATTGAGAGGCAAAATTTTAAAGCCAGGTGGTGTAAAAGTTATTAAAGATTTAAGGAATTGTTCAAATCTTTAACCAAACCCTCGATTAGGTTATCTTATATACTTACAAAAAAGAATAGGAAGAGAAACAGACATGTTGTCTATCTTTTCTATTTTTCTCTCTTATTATAGAGTCTGTCTTTGTGAGTTTAAAAACTGAATGAACGTTATATAAACCTTTTTGCAAAGGGTTCGGGACATATAGTTGGTGAAATCTTTCTCAAATGTCAGGATATTCGCCCAAAACTACATTTTCCTGTGTTTCATAACGGACTAATGTGATTTGAAAAGAAAGAAAACTATAGTTTTTGTGCTGAAAACTAAAGCGACTCCATCTTAGCTTTATCTCACAATTGTAAAAGCAAGTAGTTTTCCGACAATCTGGAGACTAGGGCTTGGTAATTGATTAGGTTTAGATACACATAAGAAAATGAATGCAAATTTTGTCAACAGATTTTTTAGAAGACATGTACTTTAAAGCCATTTGTCAATTGGCCTTCAAGGTAAATATCTTTTCATTGAGAAAGACCTTGGGGAAAAGGCCATTTCAGGCCTTAACTTAACTGCATGTAATAGGTATGCAAAATGGGTAAATGTGACCATATACTTGGAGTTATGATGGTCAACTAGTTTCTTACTAGTTGTAAAATATGCAAAATGTGATGCAAAATAAATCCATGCCTGTGAAGGAATGAGCCAAACGATTTGCAAATATACGTAAGTAAAAGATAACATTTCAGATTTGAGGAGAGCTGTTTAACCACATGCACTTTTAGACAAGCCTACTAAAACTCAGTTATAATCCCAACCGGTAGACCAGCCCAACACGTGTTAATCCAGTTCCACTGCTCTGCCTTCGGAAAAAAACTAAGCCAGAGGACATCTTTGCCTGTGTAATCTTTCTTATGTGACAATACTTTCGCTATTTGCAAAGGAACTGTGACTAATGGGGCTAAGATGTCAAGAGAAATGTGGAGACTAAATCATTATTCTATCAGTGTAGAACAGAAGATAATTGATTCATCAGCTTTCCAATGAACGTGCCTTTTTTTGCATTTAGGTCTTGTGTTTTTTTTCCCTCCGAAACAAGGGCGTAAATGGCACAGACATTATATTCTCACATTTGTGTGCCAAGGCAGAAATAATGATACAGGAGCAGTGCGTTGCCATGGTGGCTGCAGACTCCTATGATTCAGAAGTCTGAGTTGCTTTATCAAAGGAAAGATCCAATATTACCAAGAACTTCACGTTATGAGGCAAATAACAGTGGTCTGAAGGGCAGAGTTCCGTTGTTTCTTTATGATCAACAACAGTTAGAACTTGATTTGCGCCTGGAATCTGTGATCTCTAGCCAGGGAAAATACTTTAACCCAATTAAAACAACTCATTTCAGTGATTTATTTAAGAGAAACCGGAGCACCCAGACTCATGTTTGTATGAATGAAGATGTGTGGTGTTTTTTCATTCACAAGTTTACAGATGGGAAGGAAGGATGTGGGTTACTGCATGTGTGAGGAGGCAGGGGAACAATGAGGGCTATGACTCATTGAGGCGAGTTACTCAAAGACTTAAAGCAACAGACAGTGGAATTTAAGCCTGTTGTTTTTCCCTTTGAGAAGTGAGAATAATAAGAAATCAAAGCTATTTTACCATACATGGTTAAAAAGTCATATGGAAAGAAATTATGTTACTTTTATAAACTGAGTAAATTCTCTTGACTTACAACGGTAGCGTTTTGTCTCTGTGGTAAGTTAGATAAAACCAGATCAGGTCTGAGCTGACTGCATGCTTTAGTTTGAGCTGTTTTTTCAGATCTCTGTTTGTAAGACGTAACATGGAACCAGTAAACAGCTGACCGTCATGGGGATTTACAATAAGTAAGTGTAGGAGGAGAAATGTGGAAATGACAAAATAGGAAAGCTTTTCAGCTGTTTGACAAAATCATTTTAACACAGCAAACCAGAAAAACAAGAAGCCAAACACAGGTATCCCTGAAATTGGCACTCCTGGGATTTTCCCATCAGGCCAGACAGGGAGGATTCTTTACATAACAGTGCATTTAAAAGTGCAATTTCACCACTTGATTGTCTGTCTAACAAAAACACTAACAAAGAAATCAAAATTCCACAAGGCAGATGTAGAACAAAGTAAAATTTATTACAATGGTATAATACACAATTGAGGCATACATTCGTTTCCCAAGCATAGAAAGGTTGCTTGTATCCATGAATATTTTTGTAGCTGCTTGTTGGCTGGAAAAGTTTCACATTTTCATGACTTAACATCACAACTGGATTAGCCAGATGAAGGTTTGCAGTATAACAGGGCACACAGCGCCGTGGAAGAATTACAGAGCGCACCACTGAGGAAACGTGTCACAGCCTCCTTTTGATTCTGTTCTCAAAGCACAATTAAAATAAATTAGGTCATACTTGTCACCACCTCATGTGCAGCTAAGTCAGAAATGCTCTGCTCATGCCTCATCCATGCTTTGTGAGGATACTGTGTTCTACCTCATAGTGTATAAAGCTCTGGATTAAGAGGAACAATAGCTAGCGGTGAGAAATATTCCTTATGCTCAACTCATCAGGCAGTGAGTCTGTGTTCATTAATTAATTCTTAAGCAGCCCCAAAGTTACAACTACGAGGGGATCTATCCCTGCGTGTGTTTAAACACAAGTACGGACAAGTAGGACTGGGAAGAGGCATTGCGTCAAAGGCAACCTGGTATGTAAAAGGGAAAAGATAAAGACAACTGTATCGGGGTGGGTACATTAAATCATCCATTACTGTCAAGTGCACGGCTGGTACGGGGCCTTGTGGTGGTTGGTATCCATAGTGGCCATTCATGCCTCCACTCCCTCTAACTCGGGGGGCAGAGGAGATTTGGGGTGCTTGCTCTCGAAGTGCTGCTTGAACGTTTTTGGGTCGGGCATCTGGGACTGTGGGAAGAGATCCGATCACTACACACATTCATGAAACCTGTGCTGGACAGGCCGGATGCCTCTGGGCTCCCATGCTTACCCTGCACACGGCGCAGGTGAACACTAGCGCGGCTTTAGCTGCCGTCTTCTGATCGTGACCCTTGGCTTTCTTCATCTCCGCCTGCTTCTTAGCATTCTTCTGCTGAGACTGAATCTTCTGGTGTCCGCGAGCCATTCTGGCAAAACACTGAAGAAGACGGAAAGGTGAAGTTACAGTAATTGTCAACTGATTTTTAATAGCGACTAATATCAGAGAAGCTAATTTCTCCTTGGTGATAGTTTACGATGCATTTAAAGATTTGGGTATGCGGTCTAAATGTCTTGAAAGGGCTTTAACTACAAGGCAAATTTTCTAATGGGCTACTGTCCACATTAACCTCAAGTCTGGTGCAGGCAGTCTAACACTTAAATACACATTCTGAGTTGCTTTATACTTCATATTTACCAGATACCACAGGATAATATTGCACTTTCAACATCTTGAGAATGAAAAAAATAAAAAGACAGTAAGATATCTTTTTTCCCATGACTAATCTGACAACTTCATGGGCTGTTAACAGCCTCCAGCAAATACAATTACAGCACGCTATTCTGCCATGTATGTTTCAGTGTTAATGGTCTAATGATACGATACTACACAAATTAAAGAGGGACTAAACTGCAAGCTCTAACTAAATACCTAAACTATATGTTTACCACTTAAAATATCATTATAATAATGTTTTAAATAGGAATGTTTTCAGTAGCAGTGTCTTTACCATGTACAGAGCCCATAAACACTGCATATCTCCTGATTTTACATAACTTAACCCTTCATTTGATAATGCAAAACCACGGTTTGATGGGTGAATAAGTCGATCCATCCGTGGTTTTGCATTATATCAAAGCTGGAGATTTTAGTAGCCCTGAAGGTTTCAGAAAATAGGGCAGTAGCCCACTTTGCTCTGTGGTAAACCAGCCTGGCTAACTAGAAACTATTAATAGTCCAGCTAGTGTCTTAAAGAAACGTTTTCAGTCCTGTTGATCATCCAAAAAGGTTGAAAGTTGCTCAATTAGAAGATTGGCATCAGCCTCACATGTAATTTGACTTATTTAGACGGTTCTTGAGCTGTTTCTCGAGTTAGTGGAATTAAGTGAGTGTGTGTTAAAGGGTGAAAGTGTGATTAAATCCCTCCAGGTGATGGCGTAATGCGTAAACTGGAGGTAACTTAGCTAACTTTAGCTGAATGTTGAAACCTTGTTCGGATGCCTCTCAACGTGTCTACATATCTACAGTCAAATAGCACGATACAAAAGGTAACTGTCCTACGCCTAACTTTCTTAAATAAAAACATGAAGTTTCTGGGGGGGGCACGTGTACGCACGGATTGTCCGGGACGTGACACACGTTTGTTGTCGTTTCCCAGCTGTTAGCAGTTAACCGAGCAGTTTGTTCTTGCTAGTCGGCTAACGACTCGGGCATTCAACTCAACTTAGAACATAACGTTAAATACTAGCATATAAAGCGGCTTAATGTAGTCCACATATAACTATAATGTCAGCAGTCCCTTACCTTCGAAAAACCTCGAGTTGGTGTCGTTCGTGGGGGGCTCTGCTCACACAAACCAGCGTGACAGCTGCTAGTTTCACACTGAGCAGCCGACGTCAGTGCTGCGTTCAGGAACTCTCGCAAGATTCAGTCATCGTGGGAAGAGCACGAGGTAAAAAATAAATAAATAAATAAAACACTGAGCTTTCGGCAGCGTGATTTTGTCGGCTCGCATGAAAATGTGGTCAGAAGTTACACATTTTAGGAGCAACGTGCCACAACAAATTCATTGGAGGACAATATACTTGATCAAAACTATCAATTGTGCACGGGTGTGGTCGCGCGAGGCAGATGAAAAGAGGAAAACTTTTTATTTTCTTATTTGTCTTAATAAATCCGTCTATGTAAGCAATAGGTCGGAAAATCTCAGTAAATTGTCAGTAAAAAAAAATGTATTGGTGTTTTTTACGACAACTGGGAGAGGCTGCTGAGGAGAGGCGCCATGATATTGGCAATGTCTCTCCCTAGTGGCAGAGCTAAACTATTGCAGACTTTGAAAGAAATCTTTGTTGTCAATGGACAGTGTGCAGGAATACAACGATAATAGCCTACTGATCTACGATGCATGGAAAAATGCTGTCTCAAAACCTTTGTACAAAATAATATAAAAATTGTATAAATAGTGTCTTCTCAGTATGTATATTGCACATGGTCAACTTCAGGGAAGCCAAGAATGGAGCAAAGTCATTGTAGTGATGCCAGTTAATGCAAGACTCCTGGGCTGTGTATCTGTGACCCAAGGGTAGCAGCTCACACATCTGATGTCCAGCACACAGTCCCTCTGCATGCAGGGGGCCCCTTGAGACAGCCAGTTCTGAAGAGGTCACTCAGAGTGGGAAGAAGGTTGCTTTTGGGCCGTGTTGATGGTGCCGGGATATTAAGTAAGTGATGCAAATGTACTAAATGTGCCTTTTTGAATCTCAGTCAAAGCTTTGACAATGCAACTAATCGAGGTAGCGGCCATTTGTGTTCTTAGAAGAAACAACAACAAGCTACACTGATGCATAATGCATAAATGCATACACATCCAGATATAATCAAATTCTCTTTCCTTTTCTGCTTTCATGGAAAGTTGTGGTAAGATAAGGACATTACAACTGTAATTCAAATCAAATTGAGGCTCCCTGTTTGCTAAGAATTTTGAACCGGGACCCCCTCTCGCTGTTAGGTGACAGTAGTACGGACGTCGGCCTGGTGAAATCCACAACACCTCTGAGAAATGCTGCCCCTGACCAACACCAGGGGGCAGCCGTGGAGATGAACTCCCTGAGGTGAACAGTGATGTGTCAGAGTGGCTGACTTAACACTCAACAAACACTCAGTGCCAGTCATTTCTGTAATATCTAGGAAGCTAATTTATCAGTCCGTTGGCTACTTTTTCGTGGCACTTTTGTTCCAAACTGAAGCTATCCAAACAGGGCGGCAGTGTGACCTGACAGAAGGCGCATAATGTGCTTTACCAGACAGCATTTGACATTTATCTCTCTGATCTGCGTGGCTGTGGCCTCGCTGGTGGGTGGGAACAGTGGAGCCGTTCTCCACCTCTCGGTATTTGACTAAATTCAGCTAATATGTAAATAAATTGCAGCCCCAGTTATCACACGATGCACAGCATAGACAAGCTATCCTAACAAATATCAATCTGTCGGGTAGAGAGAAATTACAAAAGTCACATAAGTCGATATAAGCAAATCTAAGAGTCTATTTCTGTTTACTGGCAGTCACCGGAGCATTGATGCCTGCACCAAATCTCCCTGACAGCTGGGTGTCATGAATTCCTTGAGAGAAATGTTATCATTGTGAGAAAAACTGCTGTGTACCCCCCCCCCCCCCCTTTTTAACCACCCTCCTGCTTTTTTTCATCTCAAGAAAAGAGAGACAATCTTTTCAGTCTTTTGTAAGAGAGGGAAATATCTCTCAGGAGAGAAGGACGCGATTATTCTTTCAGAAAGGAGCCAAAAGTAGAAGAAAGAAAAGGGTGGAAAAATGACAAAAGCCACACATTGCTCATGTTCCCCCACCCTGGAGGATGTTGTGCAGGGACTTGCTTGCTTATAGGTTTGGGGTGGGGTTGTCCAGCCTTAGGGCCTGTGTGAAAACAAATCTTCCAGGTGTCAGCTATTCAATGGTAAAGGAGAATATTATCCGGCTGTCCATTGTGGATGTGAATGAGAAGGGGTTTGCCACAGACAGCCTGAGATTCTTTTCCATCCCAATTTGGTTTCCTTTGCTCCCAAAACGAGGGCTTTCGGGTTCGCTCTCCTCCCGGACAAGCAGAGGGACCCTTTCTCTTGGAAATGATGTCACCTATTCAGCTCTCACTGCATCAATAGATAAGAAAGATTAGAGTTATTGTCCATCTTTGCTCCCATAAGCTTCTCAGGGAAAAAGGAGCCACAACGAGGGGACAGCACTGTGGTTTTAACGGTTGAATCTGACCTTCTTGTTGCTCTGGAGGCCGGTGAAGGAAGAGGAAGTTGGATTTCATCTTCCTCATTGGCCACTTCCTCTCCTTGCTCCCACTTTACGCTTTCCCTTTTTTTTTTTTTTTTCCTTTCAAAACTAACAGGTTTTGTCACAATCTGCACCACCATGACGTGCCACAAAGTTGCCGGACCAGTTGGGTTGTATACAAATTTTGTCGCAGTCACAACACAACCACACGCGTCCTACTCTCAGTTCGGCCCTCTAAGGGCTTGTACCATGTGACGGGATTGTTCTGAGTACTGCGCATACATACAGTGGGGGAAATAAGTATTTGACCCCTTGCTGATTTTGCAGGTTTGCCCACTTACAAAGAATGCTTATTTTTCCTCATCAGATGGTTATCAATTTTTATAAATTCATATGATGTGATTTTCTGGAATTTTCTTTGGGATTCTGTCTTTCACTGTTAGAATGTACATATGATTAAAGTTATAGATCGTTGCATTCTTTGTAAGTGGGCAAACCCTGCAAAATCAGCAAGGGGTCAAATACTTATTTCCCCCACTGTACATGGGCTTCATTAAAGGATTCGACCAGCTGTTTTTCCAGCACACCGCGAGAGGAAAAGAAGTCAAAATTAAAATGAAACCACGTAAATCCAAGTGTTTTACTCTTGCGGAATGCAAATGCTTCTGGTCACTGTTTCATTACAACTGACCCCGAGATGCCATCCAGAAATCCCACAGGGGGGGGGTAAATCATGCCTTCAGGGAGAGAAAAAAAGTTAATTTCTTACCTCAATATACGCTCACACGCTGAAGGAGAGGTGAGGTCTGTGGCCGGGAGGGCATAAGCCGGTGGACAGAGGCTGATTGTGGAGGTGGTGACAGCTCGCCCACAGGAGCAGCGCTCTGATATTTGTGCCAGTCGGGAAAGTAAGCCAACAGCATTGGCTCAGGGCGGCCTGTTTACCACAAACACAAAGAAGCTGATGGATTTTTGCAGGGATGAGTGTAATATTTCTTTTCATTTGACTTCTTTTGTTGAAGTCGGAAGTAATGTGTTTAATCCGCCCAAAAAGCCAGTTGCATTTTTGGGTGAATGGACCCAAACAAAATCCCCCTCATATTTGACCAGTTTATGTAATCTTTCATTTAGCAAAAAGAACTCTAAGGAGAAGTGTAGGAAAACATTTTTACAGCTCCCATACAAATGAAGAGGATGGGTTGCAGCCAGGTGAATAAACACAGTTCCAAGGAGGAAACACATCAGAAATCATTTTAGAGAAGCAACTGTTGCTGCCCGTCAATCCAAGAGGGATTTCAAATCAGTGTCCAAACCATTTGGAGCTCGCGATGATTGTACATTATCGGATTTTTGTCCTCATTCAAAGCAAAAACTTTGTAATATGTTTAGACGGTATTTGGTTGAAAAAAAACCAAAGCTTTTAGCTCACCTTTAAAAAACGTATGAATCTGTTTAAAGCAATCCAATTTATACTGAATGCTAAATTGAACAGAAATGTTTAAAAAAAGAACAAAAAAGGTTCATTAGGATCCAATTTGAAATAAAAGATTTGTTTAAGTTTTTTAGAGGGCTGAAATCTAGAGAAAAACTCAAAGTAAGTGAATCTCAGACCACATTTAGTCAACTTCAGTGTTAATATTATTGACAGCCCCAATAGAGCTGCAATGATTTAAACACGTGTTCTTCTTTCTAAATTCATCCCAGTACAGAAGCTTTGCTCCTTTGATGACTAACAAACACATCACAAATACATAGTTTGTCTATATCCTCATCCATGCCAACCTCCTGTTTTCATCACACTCGTACTCCAAATACACACACACACACATACATACACACACACAGAAAACTCCATCTCCTCTGTGTGTTTCTTCACTCACACAGGTAGACTAAGACACCTAATCTTGGCCAAGTCCAGACAGGCTGCTCCTCCTTTAAAAAAAACCCTCAAAAACTCCTGGTATGTAGCATTCACTCTCTCACAGTGTGGCACACACACTTATACTTACATACACACACACGCACGCGCGCGTTTGTGCTCACAGGTATTTGGTGACTTGTGGCCCCCGACTCTCCGGGCTTGCCCGCGCCTGCTTGTGGCGGCTCGCCCAGTGGCCCTCTCACTCCTCCAGCTGTCCTATCTATCGCCACATGTCAGACATTCCAGCAGACATAGGTGATGCAGGGCGATCAACAACAGCAGCCCAGGGTTGTTTCTATTCGGGACGGTGGATGACGAGATAACTCGCACATGCAGTTATAGAAAAGATAAAGAAGATGCAAAAAATTCCCGTCTTTCCTGGTTCTTAGTTGTTAAGATGGACTGAGTTGAAGTAAGAAACTGTCCTGTGGTTTGATTAACGTAGCATTAACCTTTACACTGACTGTGTAGCTACAATTCCATCTGGGTAAAAGCTTTTTAGGAGTCAGTACACGCCACAATTAGCCAGAAACAGGAGATATTTAGCCATTTATCCCACTCACTGCATCTGTTGGTGGTGGCTCTGTGCATCTGTCTTTGTAAATTTGTCTCTATTATTTTTTTATTATGTCTTCTTGTTGTAGTTGTTTATCTGTTTTGCATTTTTCTTCTAGATAGTTATCAGATCTAATATTAATCCAGACGGTTTTGTAAATTCAGGTCCTTTAGGTCTTTCATATTACTGTGACTCTTATTGCCTCCACATGGAAGATTTTCATCTCTCTTTTAGCATGTTTTTGATAGAAGTCGTTTCTTTTTAACTTGTACTTTTGCAATCTTGTGAGTGCTGACTTTGTGTTTGTTAACAGCCATGTTGTAGCTGTTTGGCTGACTGATTTCAAACACACCGATAAGGGCGGGTGGGAATAAAGATACGAAGCTGAATCCAGCTTTTTAAAAATTTCCTTCTCTTTTGTCTGCGTTGTTGAGCTCTCGCTCGGCCTGTGTGCCGTCAGAAGAAATGGACCCCACCTGTATTTATCTAGCAGTCCCGTTCAAACACACACACAGAAAGAGCTAAGCCACGGCACAGGTGCTCTGCAAAACAAATTGGACAAAGGAGGATAGTACAGCGCTCATCAACAGAACACGCATTCACTTGCTAGTTCCTCACACACAAACAAAACCCCAAACACACGCGCACGGAATTACACACACACGCACGCACATCCTACTGACGGTTAAACTGAATCTCAAACGAAATTTGGTGGATTTCCATACAAGAGCGCCTGGGGGCGTTCACAAGCAAAGAGCATGTGTTTTTGTCATGCAAACATCCTCATAAGACCTGTTGGAAACTGCACCCCGCCATTTTTTATCTAACCCCCATTCAACTCAATCTGAGCAGGATTTATTTCAAATTTCTTCAGTCTGTTCAGACATGTGGGAAACGGAGCACAATGTAGCTTTGATATAGAACAATAGTGGAAGAAATGTTATATAGGATCTTTATTACAATACCACACACCAAGTCAGATTAATAGAAGTATAAGTAATCAAACTTGATTCATTTCAGACAATTTGTTTAGTATTTCTATGTTCTTCATTTCAAATAACATAGTTAAATTGGTTGATTTGTGTAGTTTTACACTAATTTTCAGTTGTTTAACCAACGTCTCTCCTTTCGACTACTGAAGTCCGACTTGTTTCCATAAACTATGCACATATGATGCTCATCAAAACCTTATAATGGAGAAAAATGGACTCATCCCAAACAACTGCCACACGCTGTCAGTGGCTCCAGTGTCTGTGTGACACAGCAGCAGTGTTTGCTCAGTCAGGGTGATCCCCAAACTTTGGGATCTCCTCACACAATGGCCTCATTAAGAGGACAATGGCATTGTATCAGCTAATGGCAGGGCTCCTCCCTGCCTCGGGTCTGCTCTAAAATTACCTGAAACACACACACAAGTGAGTCATTATCAAAAACCAAAAGGGTGAAAAGGTTAAATCAGTGAATGGGAACGAAACAAAAAAAAAAAAAAAAACCCCAACACCGGTCAGCCGGTGCCTGAAATCTCATCAGATGAGCAAAAAGTCTGAGAAGTGTTGCTTTGTGGATGAGAATCAATCGGATGAAAGGCTGACGGAGCATTGTTGTTTTCAACGTGAAGGGAAAAGGCGGTTTCCGTGTTTTCCCGGGCGGCCGTGCCCCTCAACAAGCCTTTACCGGCGAGGTGGGCCTCTACCTGCCCCGGCAGCCAATCAGAGCCGCGCTCCGCTCGGCAGCAGCCAATCGGCGGCCGACTCGCCCTCACCTTCGATTCTCTCGCAGTGAAAGAATTTCTGCCGAAGTCGACCCGTTAAAGAGAGCAAAAAAAGAAAAGAAAAAGAAAAAAAAAAGCAAATATTAACAACGCATCTGTTGATAATCGTCATAATCCTGCATGCAAACTAACCACGGGACGAGCGATATAGTGATTGGTTGGGAGGGACAAAAGCGGCTTTACCTGCCAGGTGGAGGTGGGGGGGAAGGGGGGGGGGGGCCACACAGAGGGGGAGGGTGAAAAAAAAAGACGCGGGGCGAGAAAAAAGTCGACTTACCTGTAGCCCAACTTCTGGCAACACGCTTCACTCTATTACCTGCTCCGACTTGAAAGTCCAGTTTCACCAGGAAGAACCGGAGAGGAAGCAAAAATATGTCACAGGAGACAGACAAGTAAGTGATCGAGCCCGAGGAGAGGATGTTTGATGGTTTTTCTACAAGAAAGGGGGGAAAAGGCTTGCTTTTTTAAAGTGGAGTCTGTCATTAAAACCTAAGATTTAAATCCAAAAATCAGTCTGTTGGCTACAAGGAGGACAAAATAGGACTCACGCACTGCTTACATCACCTGTGGATTCTCATTTCTGACAGATCTAGGGATCTAGAGATCGGAGGGAATTCTGACAACCCAAAACTTTGGCTGCTGTGAATTTCTTTAGAGCGGAATTCGCCATTTTTTGACTGATGTGAAATCCTTCAAAGAGCAAGGGGACACTTTGCGAACACTTAATTGTCATTGAAAAAGCCTTCTGGCTCTAGGTCTCGATCGCTTAAATTCTTCCTATTTATGACCCAGGGCTGAGTTTTTGCGTTGGACGTGTTTGTAAATGAGGCCGAAGCCCGTGGCCGTCTGTGGTTTTGTAACACTGTAAACTTTTTTTCCCCTCCATTAATAACTGATTAAACTGAGTTTTGGGGAAACCCATTAGCTGTTGAAAAAGAGGACTGACATTTATTGAATGGTTAATGCTCTCTAGAACGCCAAAACAAAACTTTACTACATTACAAATAATAACGCTTTAATAACATGGCTTAACTTGGCAGAAAAAAATAACATAACTGATTGTCATACTCACCAAATCCTTATAAAAAATAAAGCTAAGGAACTTATTAATTAAGTGGGGTTTCTGAAATGCATATTTTAACAAAACTTTATGAATGGACTACAATCATTGAATTATTTAAGTATTTCATCACTTAATATAACTGTAACATGTTAGTCCTTATTATTAAAGATTTTTGCATTTCTATGTATTTGTATTTACAGTCGCATGTATGAAGGCGCAATAGAACAAAGTGAGGCAGTGGGAAGTAGAGGTGTCAGCCACTATTTTGACTCCCTTTTTTAATCTTGCCTGAGCATTTTACATCTGCTTTATTTAGAGATGATGTCTTAAAGGCAAAACCAGTTGAAAATGTAATAGATTTAGTAGATGAGCAGACTAAGGACAGGGAGTGCCAAAAGCCTTAACTGGAAAAGAAATAACATACAGATACATGTATACATTAATAAATATTTTCTGATTAATTTGCATGAAAATAACATGAAAAGTCAGATGTCTGTGTGTTCTTTTTAAGTAATCAAATCTTAGCTAAATCTGTTTTACATCATAAATCTATCTTTTAGAATAGATTTCACAGGAATTTATACGTCCCTGATTTCCATTATCGGATTAAATCAGTCTAAAAGTTTGTGACGGGTTAAGAGAAAATGAATATTATCCCCATCATTGCAGTGACGGTGTTGGTTGTACATGTGCGTGTTGACACAGTCAGAGCCCTCTCTGTGATTGGCTGAGCCCAGAGCGCTGTTGTGGCAACACTGTGTGTTTGACTAGTCTGTGATCTCAACTTAAGTGGGACTAAAGAGCTGTGAGACAAATGCACAGACACACACATTACCTGACAGGCCTGACAGATGAGATAGAACACCCCTCAATCCTTATCACTTTTTAAAATCAAATTTTTGTATACTGTAGAAGAAAAACAAAAGAAAAAAATATGAATGAATGATAAAGGTGGACTGGCGGACCGTCCAGGGTGACACCGCCTCTCACCCATTGACCACTGGGATAATATCCAGTCCCCCCCCCCCCCAACCCCCTTTGGGGAATAAGCAGTTAAGAAAATGGACACCTCTCTGGCGGGGAAGGAGCCTGAGTTAGTGTGCGAGGCGGAGAGATTCCGGCTGGACATCGTCGGTCTCGCCTCGACACACAGCTCTGGCTCTGGAACCAGCCTTCTTGAGAGGGGTTGGACGCTTTGCTACTCTGGAGTTGCCCCCGGTGAGAGGCGCCGAGCAGGAGTGGGCATACTCATTGCCCCCCATCTCGGTGCCTGTACGTTGGGGTTTACCCCAGTGAGCGAGAGGGTAGCATCCCTTCGCCTTCGGGTGGGGGGACGGGTCCTGACTGTCGTTTGTGCCTATGCGCCTAGCGGCAGCACAGAGTACCCACCCTTTTTGGAGTCCTTAGAGGGGGTACTGGAGGGTGCCCCCCCTGGGGACTCCCTCGTTTTGCTGGGGGACTTCAACGCTCACGTGGGCAACGACAGTGGGACCTGGAGGGGCGTGGTTGGGAGGAATGGCCCCCCCAGCTTGAACCCGAGCGGTGTTCTGTTTTTGGACTTCTGTGCTCGGCACGGATTGTCCATAACGAACACCATGTTCAAACATAAGAGTGTCCATATGTGCACCTGGCACCAGGACACTCTAGGCCGCAGTTCAATGATCGACTTTGTTGTCGTTTCAGCTGATCTGCGGCCGCATGTTTTGGACACTCGGGTCAAGAGGGGGGCGGAGCTTTCCACCGACCACTACCTGGTGGTGAGTTGGCTCCGATGGCGGGGGAGGATGCCGGTGAGACCCGGGAGGCCCAAACGTGTTGTGAGGGTCTGCTGGGAGCGCCTGGCGGAGTCCCCTGTTAGGCGGAGCTTTAACTCCCACCTCCGGGAGAGCTTCGAACACGTTCCGGGGGAGGCGGGGGACATTGAGTCTGAGTGGGCCGTGTTCCGCGCCTCCATCAATGACGCGGCCTCCCGGAGCTGCGGTCGCAGGGCTGTCGGTGCCTGTCGTGGCGGCAACCCTCGAACCCGCTGGTGGACACCGGCGGTGAGGGATGCCGTCAGGCTGAAGAAGGAGTCCTATCGGGCCTTTTTGGCCTGTGGGACTCCGGAGGCAGCCGATGGGTACCGGCAGTCCAAGCGACGTGCGGCTCGGGTGGTCGCCGAGGCAAAAACCCGGGCGTGGGAGGAGTTTGGGGAGGCCATGGAAAAAGACTTCCGTACGGCCTCGAGGCGATTCTGGTCCACCATCCGGCGTCTCAGGGGGGGG